CAATGGTGGTGGAGTGGTGTACATAAATTTGTACATCTAACAGAAGTTGGAGATTGGACATTTGGTAATATTTAGACAGAAGAAAAAGAAGACGATTTAGTGGTGGACAAGTAGATTTGTTAAATTCGGAGACAAGCCCACTTACGGTTCATTGGCGCTATGGCAATAGCAACAACTGCAACAATGACAATAACAACAGTTGTAGTAGTCATTGTGGCAACATCAGTAAATGACACTGTCTTACATGGCGTAGAACTACAAAATATATATGGGAGATATATCCAAATCTGAACCGATTTCAAGAAACTTGGCACACATCTTTCTAGACCTAATTCATTACGCTGTGCCAAATTTCGTGCAAATCGAAAGATATATAGGGACTTTGGTGCACCATTAACATTAAATCGGGCGAAAATATATATGAGAGCTATATCTAAATCTTAACCGATTTTCAGGAAACTTAACAGACATCATTCTAGACTTAAATCATTAGGCTGTACCAAATTTCGTGCAAATCGAAAGATATATAGGGACCGTTTACATTAACTCGGACAAATATATATATATATATATATGGAAGCTATATCTAAATTTGAACCGATTCTTCCCAATTTTAATGGGGTTGTCCTTGGCCCGAATAAGTGACCTATACCAAATTTAATCCAATTCGGGTCATAAATTCGACCTGTACTTTGTTTACAATTTATCATGGACAGACAGACGGTCGGACGGACGGACATGCATAAATCGACTTAGAAAGTGATTATATGCATATTCTTAAAAGGAACCATGTGTTTATCACGTTTCCTTTTGCCTGTTACAAACATATGCACAATGAATGAACCGATTGTGCTGGAATCCTGAAATTGCGAAATATGATTTCTATTCAATTTTTGAGGTGGCACTTATATAAGTTTATAGTAATGGAACTACATTTTATAAACATTTGGACTTAGGTTATCCGATAGAGCTGCAAATTTGGAATTAAGGTACCTGTTGGAGAGTTGGATTGGGGTATGAATGTAGTTCTGAAAACTTGTACTAAATGGTACTAAACTTTTATACATGTTGGATATAAGTAAACCGATGTAGCTGGATTCCTTAAATTTGGAATAATGATTACTGTTAGAGTGTGGGATTGGGGTATGTAGTTCTTGTTGTTGTTTTTGTTGATGGTGGTAAAAACAAAACAAACCATTATTGTGTCGTCCAGTTTAAGTTTAAGAGAGCAAAGCCCATATCGTCATCGGACTCTTCAGGTTCTTCTTCCTTCTTCTTTTCTTCCTTCTTGGCTTCACCAGCAGCTGGGGTATGTAGGATGTTTCGGAAATTCTTACTTATGTAACCTTAATGGTACTAAATTTGACATAATTTAGATTTGGTTGAACTGATCGGGCTGGAATGCTGTACGTAGTTTTGGAAATTGTGTATTAAATTGTACAAAATATTTTAAAATTTTGTAGGTAACCCAATAGAGCTGAAAATTTATATAGAGCTAGATTTCTGTCTGAATACGTACTATAAGATCAAAGGTACTAAATGGTAATGGTTTGGTTAATTAGTTCTTCTGACATATGCATAATATATTGAGACTTGTTTGAATATTTCTCACATTCGAACTAGCAAGAATATGCTAGTAACATTTGATATTGTTATAAAATAGAGGGTTCACGACCCCCTCTCGCCAGAAATTAATTTATTTCTGCAATGAAAATGTTCATATTGAACCAGTAGCATTATCCCGCTGATGTGGCTGGAATTTAGCATTCCCGGATATTGGAGGTTAAACACGTTTATTTACAGAACATTCCCTATATAGTAAAATTTTTGATACAGGCTTATAGGTAGCCCCATTATCGAAATTTTTCAATTTTAGCAGCTTTTTCCCATTGAATTGCGAAATAGGTTCATATGATGATATATATAAAGCTAACTGTATTTTATAGTTTTTAGCCGAGTTCTTGGGTTCTTGAAGTGCGATAAAACGCATATTTTTAAACAAATATAGATGTCAGTCTACGTAGCCCCCGTAGGCAGGTCTCGACCCATTTTCGGTATTATTCATTTTTATACCCTTCACCACACTGTGGTACAGGGTATTATGTCTTTGTGCATATGTTTGTAACAGGCAAAAGGAAACGAGATAGACACATGGTTCCTTTTGAGAATATGCATAGAATCACTTTTTAAGTCGATTTATGCATGTCCGTCCGTCCGTCTGTCTGTCTGTGCATGTAAATTTGTAAACAAAGTACAGGTCGCATTTATTATCCGAATTGGATGAAATTTGGCATAGGTCACTTATTTGGCCCAAGGACGAACACTATTGAAATTGGGAAAAATCGGTTCAGATTTAGATATAGTTCCCATATATATTTTCGTCCGATTTAAGGTAAATACTGCACCAATGTTCCTAAATATCTTTCGATTTGCACGAAATTTGGCACAGCGTACTGAACGTAGTCTAGAATGATGTGTGTTAAATTTCGTGAAAATCGGTCCACGTTTAGGCATAGCTCCCATATAAGGGTACCCCCAAAGTTTCAATATTTTGGGGTTCTTGAGCCCGTTTTTCAAACGAATTCACTGAAATTTGGTAAAATTTTAGTTTTTGCGCAATATGGCGTTTTCTACACAGAGTCCCCACTGTCACCGAGACTTGCAAGGAAAATCGGGAAAGTCCGTTAGGAGAAGGTTTGTTTTTCGGCATAGGGTGTATATATTCTGAATGTACATTTCGAGACCTTTCAATTGATGTGGGTCTTCATACTGCATCCATTTTAGTTTTTGCGCAATATGGCGTTTTCTACACAGAGTCCCCACTGTCACTGAGACTTGCAATTTTCTTCACTAAAAAGTATAAATATAGGTCCACTTTTTCTGGTAGCCCCCATATAACGGTACCTCCCAATTTTCAGTTTTTGGGGGGTTTTGACCGTATTTTTTCACCGAATTGGCTGTAATTAGTTAGTACTTTGAGTTCTTATTGGGTATCACATCTCTCCACAACAAATTATAAATATAGGTCTATTTTTTCGGGTAGCCCTCATATAAGGGTACCCCCAATTGTCGGTATTTTTGGGTTCTTGAGCCCGTTTTTCAACCGAATTCGCTGAAATTTGGTACTTTGAGTTCTTATTGTGTAGCAAATCTCTCCACTAAAAATTATAAATATATGTTCATTTTTTCGGGTAGCCCCATATAAGGGTACCCTCCAATTTTCAGTATTTTGGGGTTCTTGAGCACGGTTTTAAACCGAATTCGCTGTAATTTTGTATTTTGTAGTCGTATATGGTAACAAATTTCCCTACCAAAAATTATTAGTATTCACCCCCTTTTAGGGGTAGTCCCCTTATAACCCCCTTTTTATACCCTTCATCACACTGTGGTACAGGGTATTATGTCTTTGTGCATATGTTTGTAACAGGCAAAAGGAAACGAGATAGACAAATGGTTCCTTGTGAGAATATGCATAGAATCATTTTTTAAGTCGATTTAAACATGTCCGTCTGTCTGTCCGTGTTAAATTGTAAACAAAGTACAGGTCGCATTTATTATTTGAATTGCACGAAATTTGGCACAGCGTACTGAATTAAGCCTAAAATGATGTGTGCTAAGTTTCATGAAAATCGGTTCAGATTTATATATAGCTCCCATATATATTTTCGTCCGATTTAAGGTAAATGGTTCACCAATGTCAAAAATATCTTTCGATTTGCACGAAATTTGGTATAGCGTACTGAACATAGTCTAGAATGATGTGTGTTAAGTTTCCTGAAAATCGGTTTAGATTTAGATATAGCTCCCATATATATTTTCGTCCGATTTTAGGAAAATGGTGTATCAAAGTACCTATATATCTTTCAATTTCCACGAAATTTGGTACAGCGTACTGAATAAAGTCTTGAATGATGTGTGTTAAATTTCGTGAAGATCGGTTAAGATTTAGATATAGCTCCAATATATATTTTCATCCGATTTTAGGTAAATGGCACACCAGAGTCCCTATATATCTTTCGTAATGAACTTAGTATAACCTATAAGTTAGATATAAATGCTGCACCGAATTCCCCAGGTGGGTCCGATTGGCACAAAATTTTGCACAACTTATAGAAATTATTATGAGATAACGTGTAGCAAGTTTTCTTGAAATTAGTTCAGATTTAGATATAGTTCCTATATATAGTTTCGTCAGATTTTAAGTAAAATGTGCACCAAAGACCCACAGTTATATATTTTATATAACATAGCATGTGGAAAGTTTTATTGAAATCGGTTATTGAAATTTGGATAGAGCTACCATACATATTTTCTCCCGATTTTAAGTAAATAATGCACCAAGAACTCAAAATGTGTCCGATATTCTGTGACAAGTTTCGATGAAATCGGCTTAGATTTCGATATAGCTTTTATAAATATTTTCGTCCGATTTGAAGTAAATGGTGCACCAAACTCCTCATGTTTATCAGATATGTATCCAAATAATCAACGGGTATCCGACTGATATATGCTTTAGTTTGATTTACATAATTTTGTCCCATTGTAAGAAGCAACTCTATATCTGACCAAATGAAAAATTTAGTACAGGTTGCAGAAAGATATGTTTATGGGTCATATATAATTTTACTGGTCCTTAAAAATGCGACGTCTGTTAAGATTCATCTGTTGAATATACCCAAAGTGGTGAAGGGTATCATATAGTCGGCCCCGTCCGACATTACTACTTTCCTTACTGGTTTATATAGCCCCCATGTTGAAGCTCTTATCAAAGTTTTCCAACCTTAATGTCTGCAATTTGGAACATTTTTTTTAGGCCATAAGTAACCTAATAACTGTTCACAAATAAGATAGTGCCATATAAAGGTCCTGATCGACATAAGGACTTTTGAATGTACACAACCTGGTGGAGCGAATAAAAAGTACGGTCAGGCCGAAATTAACGACGTTTTTACTGGTTTCATAACGTTTTCGCGCCTATTGGCACTAGCTATGTTTGAGTAATGGATCCAACGAGTAGTAAAATAAATACAGAAGTAAGTAAGTGGAAGAAATTTTCCAGTCTGCCGATTGAAAACATTATACCAGCGTTTTAAAGTGCTGAAGAATGGAGTTTGTTCCTTACAAATGCATAGAGGCATTATAACCTGTACCACTGTGCGGTGTAGAATATAGAAATACCAAATTCACCTTAACATCTAATCGATGCCCATGCCAAAGGGTACATAAAATTCGACAACACCGAATATAACACCCCTTTGAACTTGTTTAATTTTCTAATTGCTTGTTCTTTTTTTCTTACTGCGTCTTGTTTTATTTTGTTTTTAATCAAACATGTAAGACGCAACATTTTTGTTTTATAAAACTGTGTCATCGAACATAACCAGATTTTAGTTAAGTCTGAAACGTCGTCTACAACGAAACAACAACCCAAAAATATGTCTCAAATACCCGACTGGATTAAGGCAGAACTGTTTGAAAATATTTTGTGTGAAACTGTGCCGGAATATAAGGAAATCAAAGAGTTTCGTGTTTATAATGCTTTGGGTCCGGGAGAAAATTATGTTGCCATTGCTTTAAAGGTGCAGATTGAAGTTCTACTTAACGATAATACCACACATACACAAAACTACTTTCTAAAAGTGGCCCACGATACTGATTTGTATAACACCCTGATGTATAAATGGAATGTCTTTAATAAGGAAACGGAAGTGTATCGCGTTTTTATACCCGACTTTGAAGAAATGTATCGTGAAGTTGGTGTGGACGTGCGTTTTGGTCCGCATTGTTATGCGCTACCTGTTGAACAGGAATATCTGTTGCTGGAGGATGTTAGCTTGCGTGGATTTAAAAATGCCAATCGTCAAAATTCTCTGGATATGGAACATTGTAAATGTGCCTTGAAAAAATTGGCCCAATGGCATGCTGCGTCTGCTGTTCGTGTTGAACGCAAAGGACCCTACAATGAAATTTACCTCAAAGGTTCCATTAATCCCGATGGAGAACCTTTGATACGTTCTATGTCAACAGCTGGCATACGAAATGTTTTAAAGGTTGCCCAAAATCTAGACAATAAAGTTATTTATTATGCAGAGTTGGAACGTTTGAGCGAGGGATTTTGTGAGTTTCTACTGCACAATGTGGAATTTGATCCGCTGGAATTTAATGTCCTCAATCATGGTGATTTTTGGTGTAATAACATGATGTTCCGATATGATGATGACATTGAGAATAAGATTCGTGATGTATATCTTGTTGATTATCAAATGGCTCGTTACGCTTCTCCCGGTGATGATATTATCTATTTTTTATTCACCTCTGTCCAGTTGGGCTTGAAGGTTGCATGTTTCGATGAACTTGTGAGATATTATTACGATCATTTAATTGATAATTTGAAATTATTGAAATACTCTAAGAAATTACCAACATTGGCTGGCCTACATAAAATGATTATGGAATCGAAGGCGTATGGTAAGTGTTCAAGGATAACATTTGAACCTAATGTAATTTTAGAAGTTTTGAGTGACATAAGCAAAGTTTGAAATGCACTTCATTACCCTTCACAAACACATGGGTATTATAATATTTAGTCCATTAAAAATAAGCAGAAACTTCGATCCGTTCGGCCGGGTCGAACTTTTTATACTCTCCGGAGAAAACAAAATACTAAACTACAGGCACTCAGGTTGTGCTAACTTCTTGAACATTCCGAAAATGATGTGTGACGTTTGAATAATATGTCTTAACGTCATATGGAGGTTAACTTGGGTCAATATTGATAACTATTGGTAGGGAGATTTGATAAATAATGTGAACCCAAGATATCAAATGACTACCAATTCGGTTGAATATCCTACCCCACATTTATATAATACCGAATATTGGCGGTACCGATATATGAGAGCTATGCCAACACGTGAACCGATATATCCCATTTTCACGAAGTAAATGTACTAACCAGTGAGCGGAGTAGTATAGTCGGACGGGGCCGACCATATGATACCCTACACAATTACCACAGAACTCTAACTTTTGCGTATTTTTATTTCGAGCCTAATCAATATTTCTTGACCGATTAGAGATCAACAGCACCCCTTCCTTACACTGACATCTTTTCCGAATATCCCAATATTCTGTACAGCCCTTCCAATTACTTGTCCAGATTCACTTCACAGTGTGTTGTGTTGTAGCCTATAGATCGACTCGAAAAAAACACAAAAAATTTAGTTTTGGGTCCATTTCATCCAAATTTTAATCTGATCATCAAAGAAAATTATAGGCGTTGTCCTTGACCATACCTGGATCCTCATGGAAAATTTCAAAGCGATTAGCGCTATATTTCCCCCCTCTTTTGTGGCAATATGTTACTAAATAATATATGAATACGTAAGCCCCTGAAAATATTTAAGTGTAACTCCCACATCCGAGTACATACGACCATATAATTGGTATCAATTTAAAGCTGAACCACTCCTTTTGGATATACTATAGACTTCATGGGTCTATGTCCTTCAGGAGTAAATATATACGCTATAGAATACAAATTTTGTAATTTTTCACACAAAAGTCAGGGTCCAGTTGACCCGCTAAAAATTGACCGATCTTTATCAAATCAGGCATGCTTATTCTTTGGACCGATCCCCTTCTCGCGATGTTTGGGCCATAATTGCGGCCTCTGGAGCGACCAGAAAAACCGACAAAAATTAAGTATTTGGTCTATTTCATCCCGTAAATATTAACCGATCTTTACCAAAAACAATAGGGGTCTTCATTGGGCAGAACCCATATTATATGCAAAATTTCGTGTAGATTGGTCCATAACTGTGGCCTGTATCATGTTTACAAATTATAATGAACAGACGGACGGACGGACACACATGTCTAGATCGACTCAGCTCGTCGAGATATGACGATCGGTATACTTAAAGGTGGGTCTAGGACCAATATTTCGCGACGTTACAAACTCTTGGGGCTGCACAAAGCTATAATACCCTGACAACATAGTTGTGTAGGGTATAATAATGTATGTGGAAATGTTCAGAACTTTATGTTATCGATTGATATCTCCATCGTAATTTTAACATGATTAAAGCGACATAGAATTCTGATTATGAATATATGTACTTACTGGGGTCCCCAACGATTATTTCGAGGTGTTGAAAACGGAATGACAAATTTAATGCACACTTTACCTTATGGTGTACACTGAAAAAAAAGCTTCATAACATAAATGAATTCTTACGTTCCATCAATGAAATTTGTCATGGATTTTGAACCAACGTAGAGGTTCATTGAATTAATGAAAAAAGTTTCATTGAGTTTCATTAATGTAAAATTAACGAAATTATTCGTTAATGAAATGAAATTTCTTCATTGATGCAGGGAAACAAATTCATTGATGCAACGAAACTTCTTTATTAATGCAATGAAACTTCTTCATTATTGCAATGAAACTTCTACATTAATAAAATTGCAAACTTTCGTTAATGAAAGGAATCTTCTTCATTAATGCAATGAAAAACGTTCATTAATGTAATGAAACTTATTCATCAATGCTGTGAAAAACATTCATTGATACAATGAACATCTTCATTAATGCAATGAAAAATATTATTTAATTCAATGAAAAAAATTCATTACAGCAATGAAAAACATTCATTAATGTAATAAAACACTTTCATGAATGCAATGATACTTCTGCATTAATAGAATGACAAACATTCATTAGTACAGTAAAATGTCTACATTAATAAAATGAAACTTCTTCATTAATGATATTATTGGAATGAAATTTTTATTTTTGTAAATAGTTTATTTTACTAATATATATATTAATTAATTTCATATATTTATTTTTTTAGTATTAGTATTTAATTATAATCTTATTAATTTCAAATTTTGAATTTGAAATTCATATATATATATATATATATATATAGGAATACAAATCAGTATTTCATTTAAAATTTTACATTTGAAATTAATATTTGATTTGATACATAACATTGTATTTAAAATACCAACTAATATTTCATTTAAAGATTTTCGTTTCAAATTAATGTAATATTATTTAATGAAATAAAATTAATAAGATAAAATGATAAAATGTTCATTTGCATTAATAGAAGGTGTTGGTATAGTTTTATATTATTTTTTTTCAGATTGATTTTGATTTCAAACTACTAAATAAACATGGTTCATGGTAAATTAAGGAATATTTTAGAAATAGTAATTTCAAATGAAAAGCTTTAGTTGGAATATTAATTTGTATATCAAATGTAATGTTTTAGTTGCATATTAATCTGAAATTAAAAATTGTGTTAATAAATATGAACTTCAATTTTAAATATAATATTTAAATTTATTGGTATTTTATATGTAATTAGATATTTTTATTAAATTAATTGAATATTAATATTAAATTTATATTCAATTAAAACAATACAATAATCATTTTTAAACATTTCGATTAAAATTGAAGTTCATATTTATTAACATAATTTTTAATTTCAGATTAATATGCAACTAAAACATTACATTTGATATACAACAACACCTTCTATTTATGCAAATGAACATTTTATCTTACCAATTGACAGCAGTTTGGAAATTTGTATTGTGGCCACTTTTTTAAAATCTCAGCTATGTTTTGAGTTCCTTCCATAAATTGCTTTATTCGGTATATTGATTAAACTCTCCACGCATTATTGAATTCCTCAGGCGTTAAATTATAATATTTGATGATTGTAATATATGCCAGAACGGATTCATCTGCAAATAGAAGGAAGATTTTTTAAAATTTTTATATATTTAACTGTTTCTTAATATATACCTTATCATCTTCTGATATATTGCCAGCTTCTGGTACTTGGAGGGATGGAAAACTTGTGTTTACCTTCGAGATCATCGGAGTGAAGAAAGTATGGTATAAGTAGTTTATTCGGATGCATTCCCATCTTCTTTTTCCAAAAATCACCTTGAGTTATATTGGTTAAATGTTGAAGTTGTCGTCCGTTTTTCATATATTTGTTGTTGGAGCAACCACCAACTTAAATTAATAAATTAATTCAAAAAGATCGGGCTCCATTGGGTTTTTTGTTAAGTTAAGCTCTGTTTTTAACTTTTTGAAGATTTGTTTACAGTTCTCGGAAAATTTGAAAATTTTCAGCGACTGTTCGCCATCTAAATTTCTGGAAAGAAAACAAAATGCGTCAACAATGGGACAATCATATTTATCAAATTTTCGTTTATACTTTCAACGTCCTTTCTTGTAAAATTAAAGTTTGATGCATTGCAGTTTGAAATTCTAAGTAATTCTTTGATATATTTTGTAACGTAAATTGGTCGTGACCGCATTCACTTTCATATTTAATATTACAATGGACATCAATCGATTCTTTTTCACATATAAAATTCCTTTGTAAATTGCTTGGAATTTCCGCGTAGCTTTCACAAAAATTTCCATTGGTTGTCAGGATGTTTTTTTCTAACATGTCTTTTAAACGTTGATGAATTAGTATAAACACTTTCACAACACATATAATTGTCGTGCGTTTTCAGAAAATGATATTCTTTTAAATGTTTAAACAGATTATCATTTTCTGCAAAATATTTAGCACAAATAAAACACTTCATATTATACTTACTTATTTTGTGTTGCTCCAAACACTTCAAAAACTTCACTTCACCAAAACACTTTTACTTTTAACGTCTGCTCGTTTCGAAGAGAAAATACCAAATGAGATCAACAGGAATTTATTTTTTTTTCTTTTCTGATATTCGTTTCTTTGTTTGTGATCAACCACCATTTAAAACTTGTTGCTCTCTTTTGATGTAACCAAAAAGGCACACATCATTATTTGCAAAAAGAAAACATAAAGTACCAAAAAACACTTCTTACCTCCCTCTATTCTAAAAAAGATCAACCACCATTCAAATGTGTTATTCTCTTTTGTTCTCAGCTCACATAATTATGAAGTACCGCTAGCGGCAAAAACAACCACGCAAGTATACACACAAATTATTGATGTTGTTGCTGCTGAGAAACTCTAGCCTGCTCAATCGTGCATCACTGCTTTATGGTTGCAGCTAAGCATCGACGTAGCCAGAGGGGGAATTGAAAATTTTTAAATTTATGTTTGCAACAACGAATTTTTTTTCATTTTGTACCACCGGGTCCCCCCAAAATAAAATTCTGTCTACGATACTGCAGCTAAGAACAAAAAAGAATAACACATTTGAATGGTTGTCGATCTTTGTTAGAATGGATGGAGGGAGGCAAGGAGTGTTTTTTCGGTTGCTACGTTATTTTTTTGTTTTGTTTTGTGCATCGATATTCTACCGGCAAAAAACTCTACGCAAGTTTTTTACATACAAATTGTTGTTGTTGTTACTATTCAAAAAGAAACCAATTATTTGCTATTTGCATTCTAATTCCAAATTGCAAAAATGTGTTTGTTTTTGGATGATAGCAACAACATCAATAATTTGTGTGTATACTTTCGTGGTTGTTTTTGCCGCTAGCGGCCCTTCATAATTATGTGAGCTGAGAACAAAAGATAACACATTTGATTGGTGTATGATCTTTGTTAGAATGGATGGAGGGAGGCAAGGAGTGTTTTTTCGGTTGCTACGTTATTTTTTTGTTTTGTGCATCGATATTCTACCGGCAAAAAACTCTACGCAAGTATACATACAAATTGTTGTCGCTGTTACTATTCAAAAAGAAACCAATTATTTGCTATTTGCATTCTAATTCCAAATTGCAAAAATGCGTTTGTTTTTTAATGCAACAACATCAATAATTTGTGTGTATACTTGCGTAGAGGTTTTTGTCGGTAGCGCCACTTCATAATTATGTGTATGCATTTTGGTTAAGGCTGAGAAAAGAGTGAGGATAGAAAAGAGGGAGGTAAGGAGTTTTTTCTGTTGATCTTTGTTAGGAAAGAGGGAGGAAAGGAGTGTTTTTTCTGTTGCTACGTTATTTTTTTTTGCAAAAAATTATGTGTTCATTTTTGGTTACAGCTAAGAATAAAAAGACGGTTAATGCTTAGCGGGAGGTAAAATGGGGATTTTCGGTTGCCACCTGTTTTTCGCCAAATTATATGAAACAAATTTGCACTTATATAAAATAATAATAATATTCTCCCTCGGCCTATGCTGGCATAGCAAGTTTATTGTTTATTGCGTATGCACATACAGCGCATCCAACATGAAAATTGGAAGAGAATAGATGATAAATATTTCTGCAACATAATTTTAGCATACAACTTTTAATGATTCCTTGATCACTGCCGGTTATTGTTACAACCGTGCTCGTTATAAACGTAGCATAACAAATAGGTACCAATTTTTTGGGACCGGAGAAAACAGCTCGCTATTTGCATACTATGTTATAACCGGGGTTCGTTATAACCAGTATAATAAATATAAAGATTAGCTACTTTTCCCAACTATGTTTTTAACATGTTTCCCCGTTTCATTAAATGAATGAAACGTTTCATTAATTTCATGAAACTGCTTCATTAAATTTGTAGCCAAAATTTAAATATAACAATTATCAAAATTTACCCTTAAATTTCATATGCTTTGGTTGCGTACTAGTTTGCAACTGGCAGAAAATTTATGTATCATTTCAAGAATTACATATTTTACTGAATTTTATACAAATAAAAAGTTTCGTAACATTAATGAAACGCATTTCATTTATTCAATGAAACCACAAATCATTGAATTTTCAAGCAACGTAAGATTTCATTGCATGAACAAAACATTCATTATATTAATGTAGCTTTTCGTTGCATCAATGAAAAAAAATCAATGAAACGGGTTCATTGATACAACGAAGCATTTTTCTTTCAGTGTAGGATAGAAACTGCGCATAGGACTATCAAAATGCCGATAAAGGAGCTGGGCCTTTATATTTATACTACACCCAAATATCGACATGTATTTTAAATTTTTTGTAGGAAAACCTATTGAAGGTATCGTGGGTAACGTTATAAGGAGGACAACCCTAAACATAGACAAATATAGATTTTTTGTTAGGTGGAATGGGCAAATATACATTTTTGTTAGGTCGATTTCCTATCAAAGTAAAAACCAAAATATCAAATATGTGCCAATTCGTTTGCAAAACGTAAAAAAATCTCTAGTGGAAGTCACACATGTCTTATCCTACAAAGTAGACCAATATTATTTTCGGTAGGGGGTTTCACTACTCGATGAGAATCCAACTATTAAATGGCCTCATGTTTTGTTATAGAAGATTTCCATTTGTATTATTTACTTTGTTTTTGTGTCCCACACAACTATGTTGTAAGGATATTATAGCTTTGTGCAGCCCCGTCCGTCTATCTATTATAATTTGTAAACTCGATACAGGCCACTGTTATGGACCAATCTTCACGAAATTTTGCATGTATGATGGGTTCTGGCCAATGAAGACCAATATTGGGTCGGTTAATATTTAGGGGATGAAATTGTCCAAAATATTTCATTTTTGTCGGTTTTTCTGGTCGTAATTATGGCCCAAACATCGCGAATTTTTACATGGAGAAGGGGATCGGGACAAAGAATAAGCATGTTTGTTTTGATAAAGATCTGTAAATATTTAGCGTGTCAAATATAACCTGACTTTTGTGTAAAAAATTACAAAATTTGGTTGACTCCGCTCACTGGTTTACTAATTAATTCCAAAATTTCTTTTCAGGCACATTTGCTGCATTCAATATTATGCCCACAGCATTAGCCGATCCGGTGGATTCAGCAACACTGGACAATCTGGTAAATGACTCTGAACATAATGCTCAGGTTTATCAGCAGGAACGTGTAAAACAACATTTGGAGTTGGTACTGCCATGGATGTACTATAAAGGATTTTTGGATTGCAATTAATTACACTCATTACATCATTGTACTTTTTAAGAACTTAGTTTTGTTATTATTATTATTATTTTGAGTATTATTGTATAGTATAGTTTTATTCGGTGTGATGTTCGTATATGTTAAAACTCATTCTTTTGTCACAATTCTCATAGTCTTATCAATAAAATATTTTATTTAATAATTGGAAAAATGTTCAACTATTTTTTGTCTATAAATAAATACGTATTACTTAATAATTGATTTGTTATTGTGGTTGAACTAAAGATAACTTCATGTGAGTGCATTGTGCGGTATGTAATTACGTTCCAACAGCTTTACAAGAGATTAGATAACGTATTAATTTTGAAGTAATATAATTGTAATATTTAATTATACTAAACTTGTATGAAAAGAATTACACCAAGTAGGGTATGTGTAAGAGTTGCTTTTAGGTTTCAAATTATATATGGGAACAATTTTGAAATTGAAATTTTGGGTGAGGGTCATTCTTGGTCCAAAGGTTAGAGATAAGGCTGGTTTTTGGAAATTCATACCAGAACGGCACGAAAAATAGTAAAAAGTACTAAATGTGGTATTTGGCGAACCGGTAGAACTAGAACTCATACATTTGAAATGAGTGTCACTCGCTCGAATGTAGAATTGATTAGCAAAAGGGTTTTTTGGACAATCGAACTATAAGTATCCGAAAAGTACTAAAATGTTCTAAAGTTGCTAAAACTTCGTTGCATGTGAACAGATAGAGGTAAAAACTTGAAATTTTGAATGTGAATTAAGGTTGAAAAGTAGAGTCGATATAAGGAGGTTGATTTGAAAGCGTGTACTCATGTATACGAAAATTACTAAATTTGTTAGAATTAGAATTTGGAGTAATGGATGAATCTAGAATTCTGAAATTTAAAACCTGTGAGCGGAACAGTATAGTCGGATGGGGCCGACCATATGATACCCTACCAACTTCCATGAAAATCTAACTTTCTGTGGTTCTACATTCTGAGCTAGAGACTAAAAACTATTACTAATAGGCCTTCTAATTACTTGTCTAAATTCCCGTCACCGTGGGTTGTGTTGGGATCGATCGACCCTAAAAAAAAAACACAAAACAATTAAGTTTTCGGTCCTCTCCATCCAAAATTATTATCTGATCATCACCGAATTTCAAAGCGATCAGCCCTGTATTTCAGCCCTCTAGTGTGGTAATGGGTTTTTAAATAATATATGAATACGTAAGCACCTGTACATATTTAAGTGGAACTCCCGACAATATAATTGGTATCAATTTAAGGGTCAACCACTTATATTGGATATACTATCAACTTCCGGTGTCTATGTCCTTGAGGGGTAAATATATACGCTAGAGAATACAAATTTTGTCATTTCCACACAAAACTAAGGGTCCATTTGGCCAGCTAAATATTCACTGATCTTTATCAAAACATGCATGCTTATTCGTTAGCCCGATCCCCTTCTCCATCTAAAAAATTCGCGATGTTTGAGCCATAATTAAGGCTTGTGGAGCGACCAGAAAATCAGGCAAAAATAAAGTTTTTGGTCCATTTCATCCCCTAATGAATACGCCTATTAATTACAATAGGGGTATTCATTGGACAGAATCCATCCTACATGCAAAATTTCGTGAAGATTGGTCCATAACTGTGGCCTGTATCGTGTTAACAAATTATAATGGACAGACGGACACACGGACGGAAGGACATGTCTATATCTACTCAGCTCGTCGAGATATGATGATTGGTATACTTAGGACCAATATTTCGCGGCGTTACAAACTCTTGGGCTGCACAAAGATATAATACCCTGACAACATAGTTGTGTATTACCGTCATAGCGAAGAATTTGGATATGTACGTAGTTTTGGAAATTTTTTACTTATGTGTACGAAATGTACTAAATCTTACTATAATTGGTACAGTTTTAATTTTGGTGAACTGATAGAGCTGAAAGACTGAAATTTGGAAATAAGATTACTGCTGGAGTGTAGGATTTGGGTATGGATGTAGTATTGAAATTTGGAATTAAAATTACTGTCGGAGTCTAGGATGGGTGTATGGATGTAGTTTTAGAAATTTGTACTTATGGGTACTAAATGGTACTACATTTGATACGTTTTGGATTTTGGTTAACAGACAGAGCTGGAATCCTGAAATTTGGAATAAAGATTACTGTTAGACTGTAGAATTGAAGTATGTAAATAGTTTTGGAAGTTCGTACTTGTGCGTGTTAAATGGTACTAAATTTGGTACAAATTTTGGTGAACGAATAGAACTGGAATCCTAAAATTTGTAGTCACGATCACTGTAGGGGTTTTGGATTAAGGTATATAGGAAGTTTTGGAAATTTCTACCAATGTTTACTAAATGATACTTAAATTTGATACAATTTGGACTTGGGGAACCAATCAGGCTGGAATCATGGAATGTTGAAATATGATTTCCATTGGGTTGGAGAGTTCGGTACTTTTTTCAAATTTGGACTTGGGTGAACCAGTAAAGCTCGAAATATGAAACTTGGAATTTTTTGGAAATAAGTACTACATGAGTACGAAACGTAATAAATGGCACCATATTTAGTATGGAGCTAAATTTCTGCTGCGGGAGTATTGAGATATGGAGGTAATTTTGTAGTATAAGAGAATTATACCTTTATTCTCTTATACTACAAAATTACCTCCATACTCAACATACTCAAATTTTAATTATGTTCGATACTGGAGTGTATGTTGATTAGCTCTTCCGAAATATGTAGTTTTCTGTGAAAATAACATAATATTTTAACACATAGTTCCCACATTCGCTGGCAAAGTAGCGGGCATATGCTAGTGAATTATGTGTAGTATTAATATATACTACACATACTTCCATGTCACAAGTCATTTTAGACTAAATTCTGTAAAATCAACTGGCAAACGGACAAACGATAGGTTTTTAGTACACAATTTACGAGAAGTACGTCGAAAATTTATCTGAACCCTTTACCCCCAAATTTCAATAGCATTCAGGGTTGGGAAGCCTTTCAAACTGAGATGCAGTTGATTTTACTACCAATGTTGTTGCAGTTGATTTTACTTCTGTATATATTATTCCTGCTCAATCTGAGTTTGCTTCTTTGTTCAGGTTCACAAAGCCTGAGTGGGTTTCGAGTAATATGGAGAAGGAAAGAAGATGGGCCAACAGAATTGTTTCAGATTTACATATAGGTCCCATATATATTTTTGTCATTGTAAATGGTGCACCCGATATACATGAAAGTTTTATAGCGCACTAAATTCGGTTCAGATTTAGATATAGTTAATATGTATAATTTCGAAATTTTTTAGATTTAAATGGAATAATAAGGCCATAATTGACAAGTTATAACAAATCATTTATACCCTCCACCATGGGGTTAACATTCAAAATACCAGACATCGATGGAGACCTTTATACGATGGCAATGTCACGCAAATCTTTGCCAGGAGAAAACGACATACACTTCGGTTGAATATGAACACGCTGAAAATGACGCCTGACCTTTTTATGAGGACTGGTGGAAGGTATAGATTTAAGAATGTTCTGTGAAGAACATGTTTATAAACCAAGATCCCGGTATGGCGGGACAACCTAAATATTATGCAGGGATTAATCGTGTTCAATCGAATGTGAACATTTTGCTCAACGTTTTCTTCATTTGAAAATAAAGGGGGTCATACAGTGAACAAAGTATATTCCATAAGTACATTATATCTGGGGGCAAGAATAGTATTCATAAATAAACACTCTCTTAAGATATTCAATTCGCAGTATTTTTTGAGCAGTAATAATCTGAACTATTGTCAAAGTGGCCCGTTGCATTTGTTTAAAATCTAGACAATAATTAAAATATTTCAGAAGAATTTACTGTTCTGAAGTGAAAACTATTAAAATTATTTCTTAACGTTCGCTGATGTTATTTTTTTAAATGGAATGTAGTTGTAAATTATGGGATCATGTTCTAGTTTATTCTAAAATTCGTTTGTTATCTCAGTGATAGTTATTTAGAACAATAGAATTGTATTTTATTTAAATCGATGACTTTGAAGAATGTATTGTAGTTTTTAACAAAGTATTTTATTCATAAATATATATTTTATCCCCTTCAATGTAGTAAATATAATTGTATGTGGTTTTGCTAAGCTCCTCTTACAGTGTCGATAACGAAGATAGACCGTAAAGCGTTCTAGGAAAATAGCTGTCAAAAATTCAAAATTTCTCATTTTCAGTTATATGCAAATTATACAGTTATTAAACATAGTTATTATAATTACAGTTATTAAGCAATCAAAATAAAAATATAATGTATTTATGTCATCATATTTTTAATTTATGTTACCTCTTTGACAAGATATGTAAATTTTAGTTGATTAAAAAAAATCTTAAAATATGTTTCTCAAAATTAAATACAAAATATATATTATTAGATTATTATAGGTTTACAAATTGGATTTGCTATACTACTTATTTTAGCAGCAGTTGAAAAGACACGCGATTTCTTTTTCTTACAGCTTTTAATAACGCGTGAAATGTTCGTATATTTGTATTTTAATCTTGCGTGTTATCTAGAGGAATATTGATGAAGCAGATATAATTATTTGTATACCCTTCACCACACTGTGGTACAGGGTATTATGTCTTTGTGCATATGTTTGTAACAGGCAAAAGGAAACGAGATAGACACATGGTTCCTTTTGAGAATAAGTATAGAATCACTTTTTAAGTCGATTTATGCATGTCCGTCCGTCTGTCTGTCTATCCATGTTAAATTGTAAATAAAGTAAAGGTCGGATTTATGATCCGAATTGGATGAAATTTGGCATAGGTCACTTATTTAGCCCAAGGACGAACCCTATTGAAATTGGGAAAAATCGGTTCAGATTTAGATATAGCTCCTATATATATTTCCGTCCGATTAAATGTAAATGATGCACCAAAGTCCCTATATATCTTTCGATTTGCACGAAATTTGAATTGAGTCTGGATTGATGTGTGTAAAATTTCTTGAAAATCGGTTCACATTTAGATATAGCCCGAAGTCCATATATATCTTTCGACTTGGACGAAATTTGGTATAGCGCACTGCAATAGCCATAGTTACTTTTTGATTCAATTTATGAATTTATTATCCGAACTAGATGAAATTTGGCACAGCTCATTCTTTAGGGTCAAAGGCGAACACTACTAAAATTAGTGGACAAAGACCCCACGTTAGTTTGATTGACCACACGTCAACCTGATTGATAGCGCACCGAATGGTTTAAATCGGTACAGATTTTGATTAGTTTCCATTTATATTTTCGTCTGATTTCATCTAGGTTGAGCACCAAATAACCAACGTTTCTGGATTCTAGACTTATGTGTTTTTTATAATATAGCTCCCATATATATTTTCGTCCGATTTAATGTAAATGGTGTAACAAAGTCTCTATATATCTTTCGATTTGCACGAAATTCGAATTGAGTCTGGAATGATGTGTGTAAAATTTCTTGGAAATCGGTTCAGATTTAGATATAGCCCGATGTCCATATATATCTTTCGACTTGGACGAAATTTGGTATTGCGCACTGAACTAAGTCTAGAATATTTTCTCCCGATTTAATTTTAATTTTGCACGAAATTTGGCTAGCGTACTGAATTGAGTCTAGAATGGTGTGTGCAAAGTTTCTTGAACATTGTCCAATTTTAATTATCTTTACCAATTATCTTTACCAGGGCTACGGAGCTGATGAATTTGCAACCCAAACCAATTTTTCACGTTGCACTGTATACATGAACTGTACTGCACTGTATACATGAAATCTTTCGTATATATATATATATATATATATATATATATATATATAGATAGATATATATATATATATATATATATTAGGGCGGGCCAATTAGTATGGAGCCGGAAAATTCGATTAAATCCAGCCCCTAGGATGATTCTATGGACAATTCTAAGCAACTTTGGAGAAGGAACCATAGGTCTATATTGATTTTCGAGTCTCTCCCTTTTCAAAAAATGATTTTTTCCCTATAACATCATTTTGATTCAAAATTCGATTTTTTATTAATCGTTATATTACCTTTTTTATGTGTATATGAGGGATTTTTGGGTCGAGAAATTCATTTCTAATCTTTATTTTTATCTATGACCAACGCCAGAGGGCGCTTCATAAATATTTTAACTATTTTTCGTCTATTTTCTGGGAATTATCGAATTTTTTTGGATTAAATCGAATTTTTCGGCTCCATACAAATTGGGCGCCATTATAATGATCAATTTTACCAAAAGTCGGTTTTATTGTCGATTAATTGTATTATATTAATTAATTGTAAATACATCAAATTGAGGGGGTACAGTTATATTAGGATTGCAAACGTTGACCGATGTACTCTATTTGCATTTCAGTTCTGTCCTAAATATTGCGTTATATATAGTGATTTTAACTAAACATGGCCCGATCTAGTTCAGGCGGATATTACTAAATCGACATAGAATTTTATTTCGATCCGAAATATATATATATATACTTTATGGAGTCCCCGATGGATCGTTCGATGTGTTGCAAACCGAATCACAAATTTAATATACATTCCACCTTATGTTGGAAGGAGAATTGAATGTTATTTGCAGCGAAATAATACGATCAACATTATCTTCTGCCTATCATGGATAGCATAATAAGTTCATTTTTTAAGCATGCTCTCGTTGTCCCCTGTCGCTTGCACAATAAATCGATATCTCCAAAAGTTTTTTTTTAATTTTTACTTGGAATTTTAAAGAGATTTTTGATCTGTTCCCGTACTCCAAGAATCTACTAGTTTTTACTACGATAACAATTTTTTGTTTATGATATCGAAGAAAATAGTAAAAATTAGTAGATTCTTGCAGTACGGGATTTATTGAGAAGTTATAGGTTCAAATTTGATAAAAATATAGATTTTTTGAAACAGAGTATAGTGCCCCTTTAAGTCTTTCGGCATTCGTTTGACATGCAATACCCATAGTTACTTTTTGATTCAATTTATGAATTTATTATCCGAACTAGATGAAATTTGGCACAGGGTCAAAGGCGAACACTATTAAAATTGGTGCTCAAAGACCCCACGTTAGTTTGATTGACCACACGTCAACCTGATTGATAGGGCACCGAATTGTTTAAATCGGTACAGATTTTGATTAGTTTCCATTTATATTTTCGTCTGATTTCATCTAGGTTGAGCAACAAATAACCAACGTTTCTGGATTCTAGACTTATGTGTTTTAATTTTTTTTCCAATTTTTTCGGAGTTTCATATGTCCAGATTTATATATATATAGCTCTCCTATATCATTTTGGCAGATTTCATGAAATTGGTACACCAAAGACATAATCTCTGTACTATTGACATGAAATTCAGCATAGAGATGTTCTCTATTACGTGTAAGTATTAATAGAAGTCAAAATCGTTTGTCAAAAAGCATGGTTTAAATCGGTGTACATATTACTATACATTACAAGAAGCACATAAGGAGCACCTCTTGTAAAGTGTGATTTTTTAGCTATTATATTATATGAGTTCGGTAAATTTTTTCTCTTTCCGGATCCGTCAATTGGCCTTCCGACTATTTTTTGTGGGGCTATGTTAAAGCTCATGTCTGTACAAATAATCCTACTTCAGTTGACGCATTGGATGATAACTTTGCATGAACTAATTATCAAACGATAAGTTATATGGACCATCGATTTTAGAATCCATATAACTAATTGTTATATTCATTTTCTATAGCTCTCAAAGATAAACTTTTATAAAGCCGAAATGTTATTTTATGAATTTCGTCTTTTCGATTCTATCTGAATAATCGTACTCAACCAAGAAATACACCCACCTAATACATGTAGCATATACCTCCATCATTCCCACAATTGCATTTCATATAGAGTGGATTGTCTCATATATCCCTATGCCTATCAATATGAAACACTCTAAACACACACAAACTACTATATTCACAATTTCACTGCAAGGCAGCTGCATTCAGTCAATGTACGACTCTGTAACGCGCTGGGTGCATTAACTCGTCAAATCAAAAATCGAAATAATAAAAAAATATATAACAATGTCTAAGGAAATTGTAATTCCATCATGGATTACAAGTGAAAAATTCGTAAAGCTTCTTTCGAAAACAATAACGGATTTCAAGGGAATTAAAAATTTCAAAGTATGTCCAGCATTGGCACCTGGTGAAAATTATGCCACCGTTATGCTCAAAGTCCATATTGATTGTCTTTTAACAACGGGAACTGTGGAGAAGTTCACATTGATGCTGAAAGTTCCACACGACAACGATTTGTACCGCAATGAAATGATTAAATGGCATATGTTCCCAACGGAGGCGGAAATGTATCGACGTATAGTACCGGGATTTGAAGAACTTTATCGTTCCAAAGGGATGAATATTCGATTTGGTGCTACGGCATATGAGTTGCCTACAGTCACAGAGGAATATATTCTCTTAGAAGATCTCGGCCGTAGAGGTTTTCGAAATGTAAAACGTCAAGATTGTCTCGATATGAATCACTGTAAAGGAGTTCTAAGGAAACTGGCTCAATTCCATGCTGCCTCAGCAGTTTGGGTTGAAAAGAAGGGCAAATTTTCTGATCGCCATTCTAGGGGAATTGTTCATGAAGAAGGTAAAGTCCTATTGGGTAGTATGTTTACCAGTGGTCTACAACATTTACTTAAGACCACAAAGAATATGAAGAGCTGTGATAAGTTTTATCCTGAACTTGAGAAATATGCCGATAAATTTATGGAAGAAGTATTTAAACAAACCATTAGAGATGATAATACCTTTAATGTTCTCAATCATGGTGATTGTTGGTCCAACAATATAATGTTTCAATATGACGTCAAGGGTGAACTGAAAGAAACCTATTTTGTGGATTTACAGTTGCCCAGTTATGGTACCCCAGCTCAGGATCTATTATATTTTATATTATCCTCAGCTAAATTGGATTTGAAAATTCAACATTTCGATGAAATGATTCATTATTATCACAAACATTTAATAGAGAATTTAACATTTCTGGGTTATACGAAGTCGTTGCCATATTTACGGGATATACATCAAATGATTTTGAAGGGGAGTATTTGGGGTATGCGTAATAGAATAAAAATATATATTTTTTAAATTAAAATTTCCTTTCCCTTTTCAGCCATGATCACCGTACTTATTACCATGGCAGCTGTCTTGTGTGATACCAGCGATTCTGCCACAGTGGATAATTTTGTCAGCGATTCCGCGGACAGTCAACAATTTAAAGAGTTGCTTTTTAGCAATGAACGTTTTAAGGCCCATTGGGAAGTAGTCCTACCCTGGCTATACTATAGAGGTGCTCTAGAGATTTAAGATAATCGCAATTCATTTTACATGCAACTACTTACTTGTAATGCAATCAACGCGCCCATAAAGGTGTCACTCGAAACTGAATGATATCGCCCATTGAATTTATAACACCTAATAAATTAATTGCTGTAAGAATAAACATTATTGTTGTAGTTGTTGTCACTGTCAATAAAGTGACTGGGAATCTTTGTAAGATGTGGAATATTTTAAAGTTGCTTCTATTATATGAATAATAAATAATAAAAAATTCGTATAATATACAGGTTATCCATTTCGAGGTTTCATAAATAAAACAAAAATATACTATTTTTCGCCCTCACAACTATGTTGTAAAGTCATTATAGCTTTGTGTGGCCCCACGAGTTTATACCGCCGTGAAATATTGATCCTAAACCCACCTTTTAATATACCGATCACGACATTTTACACAGACAAAGGGGTCTGACCATAACTGTTTGTTGAAGATCACTCAATATTTAGCGGGTCAAATGAATCTAGACGTTTGTGCGAAAAATGACAAAATTGTTATTCTATTGCTTATATATTTACTCCCGAAGGACATAAACCCGAGAAGTTGATAGTATATGCAAGAGGAGTGATTTACCATAAAATTAAAACTAATTTTATTGTTATATCTACTCGCATGTTGGAAGCGTCTACGTGTTCTAATAGTGTTTAGTATTACCATTACCACATTAGAGGGTATAAATTTCTAGCTGAGGCTAGGAAATTATGCTATTAGCGGGTCAAATGGGCCAACACATTTTTTTGTGTAAATTTTACTCCGGAAAACATGATTCGTAAAAGATGCCACAGAGGAGCTGTTGACCTCTAATATCGCAAAGGATTGCCCAGCTACCTCCAGATTTTCGGTATTTTGAGGAGCTTGGGTGCTTGGTATGAAATCTCCCTAATAAAAAACATCAATATCGGTCCACTTGATGGGTTAACCCCTATACAAAGGTACCTCCTAAATATGTGGATCATGAGAAATTTTAAGAAGGATTTCGACCGAATTGACTGTAATTTGGTATGTCGGGTTATAATTGAGTACCAAATCCACCCACCATTCCTATTTGGTAACAAATCTTCATATTAAGAACTCCCTTTTGGAGGTAGTCCCCATATAAACCCTTTTTATACCCTCCGAATTCGGAAGTACTTTGGCTCCGTCCGATTTTTCTACTTTCCTTACTAGTTTTATTGATGAGTTGTAGTAAAAAGAAGCCATTGGATGCAAAGTTAGGGCTGTACGGCGGGTGACCTATCAATTCCACCTTTTAAATGGCGTTGGTTTGGTCCGCTGTGCACTGTTCTTATGGTGCCCAATATTATTCGATTTTGAAAGAGTGGCCACGTGAGCAGTTTTGTCGAAGAAACGTCAACTATTTTCTTCGAAGTGCTTCTTTTATGAGCAGCTTTCATTGAATTTAGCACGTCTTCGAATTAATTACTTTTTTTAACGAGTACAAATCTCCATAGGTTTGGCTGTGTCGAATTGTTATTGAGTACACTTTTCAAACACAATTCACTGTATATTTAGGTTGCCTAGAAAATCTACCTGCAGAAAAATAAGAATATTGGTCTAGAGTTTCCTGTAGTCTCTATATAACCATACTGTGCGCAATTTGGTACATTCAGGGTTTGAAGAACATGTTCCAATCGAATGCGCAGTAATTTTGTATTTTTGAACTCAGGGGGAAATAACCTACTCAGAGGTACATAGATTTTGAAGATTCAAAACGTTTTAAAAATGGGGTGTAATTTTGGATAGAAAATGTCCCTACTGAAAATTATTGATTTAAATGTTTTTCCGCTTAGTAATAAAATGTTTCGATCATACTTGGCGTCATTCCGAAAATATTTTATCTCATCCATATATTTAAGTAATGGCTATTTCAATTATGCACATGTAGACGGCGTTGAGTACATAAATATAAGCATTTCATATGTAATTCCTTCTTCCAATAGATGTCGATAACAATAATATAGATTATACAGACTGAAGACGATAGTAGTTGTCAACAGAATATATAAACGTTTCGGCCTTGGTGTTTTCTATAGATATCGAACCTTTATCGAGGACCTTTAAAATACGAAATAAGTAAAAACGCCATTAAATTCGGCCGCATATACCCTGTTTTTTACCCTGAGGCTTAGAATAGATTGACCTATTATTTGCTAATTTCTCTTCATGAAACATGCGGGACTTTTTATACCCTTCACCACACTGTGGTACAGGGTATTATGTCTTTGTGCATATGTTTGTAACAGGCAAAAGGAAACGAGATAGACACATGGTTCCTTTTGAGAATATGCATAGAATCACTTTCTGAGTCGATTTATGCATGTCCGTCCGTCCGTCCGTCCGTCTGTCTGTCGATGTAAAATTGTAAACAAAGTACAGGTCGCATTTATAATCCGAATTGGATGAAATTTAGCACAGGTCACTTATTTGGCCCAAGGACGAACCCTATTGAAATTGGGAAAAAATCGGTTCAGATTTAGATATAGCTCCCATATATATATTTAACCGATTTAATGGAAACGGTCCCTATATATGTTTCGATTTGCACGAAATTTGGTACAGCCTAATCATTAAGGTCTAGAATGATGTCTGCCAAGTTTCGTAAAAATCGGTCCAGATTTAGATATAGGTCCCATATATAGTTTCGTCCGATTTCATCTAAATGGTGCCCCCAAAGTCCCTATATATCTTGCGATTTGCACGAAATTTGGCATAACGTACTGAATTCAGTCTAGAGTGATGTCCGCCAAGTTTCGAGAAAATCGGTCCAGATTCAGATATAGCTCCCATATATAGCTTCGTCCGATTTCATACAAATGGTGCCCCAAAGTCCCTATATGTCTTCCGATTTGCACGGAATTTGGTATAACGTACTGAATTGAGCCTAGAATGATGTCTGTCCAGTTTCGTTCAAATCGGTCCAAATAAAGATATAGCTCCCATATATAGTTTCGTCCGATTTCATGTAAATGGTGCACCAAAGTACCTATATATTCTTCGAATTTCACGAAATTTGGTATAACGTACTGAATTGAGCCTAGAATGATATCTGCCAAGTTTCATGAAAATCGGTCCTGTTTTAGATATAGCTCCCATATATAGTTTTGTCCGATTTCATGTCAATGGTGCCCCAAAGTCCCTATATTTCTTCCGATTTGCACGAAATTTGGCATAACGTACTGAATTGAGCCTAGAATGATATCTGCCAAGTTTCATGAAAATCGGTCCTGTTTTAGATATAGCTCCCATATATAGTTTCGTCCGATTTCATGTAAATGGTGCCCCAAAGTTCCTATATATCTTTCGATTTGCACGAAATTTGGTACAGCCTAATCATTTGGGTCTATGATGATGTCTGCCAAGTTTCGTGAAAATCGGCCCAGATTTAGATATAGCTCCCATATATAGTTTCGTCCGATTTCTTGTAAATGGTGCACCACATATATCTTGCGATTTGCACGAAATTTGGCATAACGTACTGAATTGAGTCTAGAATGATGTTTGCCAAGTTTCGTGAAAATAGGTCAAGATTTAGATATAGCTCCCATATATAGTGTCGTCCGATTTCATGTAAATGGTGCCCCAAAGTCTCTATATTTCTTTCGATTTGCACGAAATTTGGTACAGCCTAATCATTTAGGTCTAGAATGATGTCTGCCAAGTTTTGTGAAAATCGGTCCAGATGTAGATATAGCTCCCATGTATAGTTTCGTCCGATTTCATGTAAATGGTGCCCCAAAGTCCCTATATATCCTTCGGTTTGCACGAAATTTAGCATAACGTACTGAATTGTGCCTAGAGTGATGTCTGCCAAGTTTCGAGTAAATCGGTCCAGATTTCTATATAGCTCCCACATATAGTTTCGTCCGATTTCATGTAAATGGTGCACCAAAATCGCTATATATCTTTCGTTTTGCATGAAATTTGGCATAACGTACTGAATTGAGCCTAGAGTGATATCTGCCTTGTTTCGTGAAAATCGGTCCAGATTTAGATATAGCTCCCTTTTATTATAGATTGATTTTAAGTAATTGACGCACCAAGGAACCAATAGGAACAAAACGTTCTGAAATTAGTATAACCTAACCTGTGACAAGTTTGTTTGAAATCGCTTAATATTTGGATAGAGCTTCCATATATATTTTCGCCCGATTTCAAGTAAGTTGGGCATCAAATTCCTCATGTTAATCAGATTGACATCAAATTGTGCACAACGTACAAAATTGAGCATAGAATTACGTAGTTGCGTTTTCTAGAAGTACAGACATAGCCCAACGGATGACTTATTTATATTTGTTTGAAGTCGATTAACATACTTTATGGATAGATCTAGGTAGATTCACATTTAGATAAATATCACATATTTTTTTTTCATCCAATTACATGTTAATAGTCCTGTTTAATATACCCATAGTGGTGAAGGGTATCATATAGTCGGCCCCGTCCGACTTTACTACTTTCCTTACTGGTTTAGCTTATAATTGTGTAAAATTTTTTATTGGCTGGAACCTGCATATTTCTTACCATATAAATAAAATAAAAAAATTCTCAATAGACAAATTCCGTAAAACTAATTTTCTGTATCATTTTTGCAAACTTCAAATTGTGTGAGAAACTTACATTGTTAAAAAATTATTACGTCTGGCACGTATACGCATACCAATGACAGTTGCATTCAATTTAATTGACATTTTTTAGACTGTTACTAAATCCATATAATTACTCGGATACAACTACAATTACAATAATAACAACAACAACAGCGAGAATTTATTAAAATGAAATCATTTTTGATGAGTAGATGCCATTGTTTGTTTATGAATAAATAAAATACAGTGGCACAGTGGTTACTGAAATGTTATGAACATTAAAATAATTTGATGTGAAATTGAAGAGCGAAAACGATGATATATTGTGTACTAAGTCATTATTATAACAATTTTTGATATTTTAAATATGTTTTTAAAGACTATCAACGCGTGAATTTTGTAAAAATATTTTTCTAAGGGCTATACAATTTTTTCTGAGGACTATCAATAGCCTGAATTTTTAAAACTACTATTCAAAGGACTATAAAAAAAATTTTTTTCAAGAAATATATAAAAAAACATTTTTCTATGGACTATCAACAGGCGTGGATTTTTCAAAAATATTTTTCTAAGGACTATCAAAACGCTTGGATTTTTTAAACATATTTTTCTACGGACTATCAACAGTTGTGGATATTTTTTTTAAATATTTTTCAAAGGACTATCGAAAGACGTGAATTAAAAAAAAAACAAGTGAAAAAGCGTTAAGTTCGGCCGGGCCGAACTTTGGATACCCTCCACCATAGATATACTGACAGGTACTTGAAATGAAAATATAGGGAAATTACCAAAAAGTGGACCTATATCGAAATTTCCACAAACCGGTTATGTAAACCAAAATGTAAACTATAAAACAAATTTCAGAAATTTTTAATTGACAATTATACCCACATCTTTATGGACAATGAGGGTGTATACAATTTGACACGGTTAAAATGGTTCTAGACCCCATGTTTCCATGTTTCTGATTTCATCCAAACTTTGGCCATCTTATTATTTCTTTCAAACATAGTTCAAGTTCGAAGATGGGGAATATCGGTCCACTCCTTCTGGTACCTCCCACACAGGGGCTAGGTCTAAATACGGGTTATAGTTCATATATAGTTCATTATCGAACCTAACGTTCTAGTTTTTTATCTCAATATCCTCCGCTGGTGATATGATTACAACAGAGTCTTAGAACCAAACCCAAAACGCAAACAAATTACATAATTATTTCAATATAAAAAAGTGGGTTAAATGGGGACTACCCCAAAAAGGGGCTGCATGTTAATAATTTTTTGTAGGGAAATTTTTTACCGTATACGACTACAAAATACAAAATTTCAGCGAATTCGGTTGAAAAACGTGCTCAAGAACCCCAAAATAGCGAAAATTGGGGGTACCCTTATATGGGGGCTACCAGAAAAATTGGACCTATATTTATAATTTTTGGTGAAGATATTTGGAACCCAATAAGAACCAAATGTACCAAATTTCAGAGAATTTGGTTGAAAAACGCGCTCAAGAACCCCAAAATACCGACATTTGTGGGGTACCCTTATATGGGGGCTACCAGAAAAATTGGACCTATATTTATAATTTTTGGTGGAGATATTTGGAACCCAATAAGAACCAAATGTACCAAATTTCAGCGAATTCGGTTGAAAAACGCGCTCACGAACCCCAAAATACCGACATTTGGGGGGTACCCTTATATTGGGGCTACCAGAAAAATGTAACCTATATTTATAATTTTTGGTGGAGATATTTCGAACCCAATAAGAACCAAATGTGCCAAATTTCAGCGAATTCGCTTGCAAAACTCGCTCAAGAACCCCAAAATACCGGCATTTGGGGGTACCCTTATATGGGGACTACCAGAAAAAATGGACCTATGTTTATAATTATATATAATTATTATAGAACTCAAAGTACTAAATTACAGACAATTCGGTAGAAAACTACGATCAAAACCCCAAAAAAACGGAAAATTGGGGGGTACCCTTATATGGGAGCTATGCTTAAACGTGGACCGATATATCCCATCTTCGAACTTGACCTGTCTGCAGACAAAAGACGACTCTATGAAAATTTGTTTAGACGCTAGAGTGATTACAACAGACATACAGACGGACATGCTTAGATCGTCATAGGATTTTACGCTGATCAAGAATATATATACTTTATAGGGTCGGAAATGATTATTTCGATGCGTTACAAACGGAAAAACAAAACTAATATACCCTCCATACTATGGTGGAGGGTATAAAAATTAATTTAGTTTCCTCTCAATTCTGGAACCACTGTGCACTGCTTTAAGAAACGAAGGGGATTGATTACATGCTTGGTGCATCTCTCGTTAGGTATTTGTATACCGGTAATTTGAATATTCCATCAGTTTGATTTATAAACTATACGAAAAAGGTTCTTTCGATCTGAAAAAAAAATAGCTCGCAAACATGTCTAATAATACAGAGACGCCATCGTGGATACGTTGCGAACTATTTGAAAAAGTACTACGTGACAATATAAAAGGATTCGGTAAAATTGAAAATTTCAAAGTCTATCCAGCATTGGCACCTGGAGAGAATTATGCCACAGTTATGTTAAAAGTCCACATCGATTATATCTTGGAAACACAACAAGTTGAGAAAATTACCTTTATGTTAAAGGTTCCACACGACAATGAATTGTATCGCAATGAACTCACTAAATGGGATATGTTTGCCACCGAATCGGGAATGTATAATGAAATTGTACCGGAATTTGAAAAATTATATATACGAAAAGGTATCGATATACGATTTGGAGCCAAGGCATATGAATTACCAGTCTCGGAGGAGTATATCCTCTTAGAAGATCTTTCACGTCGTGGATTCCGCAATGTGCAAAGACAAAATTGTTTAGATTTGGCCCATTGTCAAGGTGTTTTGAAAAAGTTGGCACAGTTTCATGCAGCCTCCGCAGTGTGGGTACAAGAAAATGAACCCTTTCCAAAATTATATCGTCCCGGTATGATAAGAAAAGAGGGTATGACGTTGCTCAAACCAATGTTAACTAGTAGTTTAGAACATGTACTAAGGGCAGTGAAACATTTAAACAATTCCGATAAATATCATACGAAACTACAATATTTTGGAGAACATCTTGAAGAAGCTTTACTCGGCCAAGAAGTCGCAGATGAACGAGATTTCCTGGTCCTAAATCATGGAGATTGTTGGGCCAATAACATCATGTTTCAATACAATGAACTGGGCGAATTACAGGAAACCTATTTTGTTGATCTACAATTACCGGGCTACAGAAGTCCAGCTCAGGATTTATTGTATTTTCTCATTTCCTCGGCTCAATTGGATTTGAAAATTAATCGCTTCGATGAAATGATTCTATATTATTATGAAAATTTAATAGAACATTTGAAAATGTTGGAATATAAAAAACCCCTGCCTTGTCTGCGTGAGTTACATCAAATGTTATTGAGAGATAGTATTTGGGGTAGGTCGAAGAAGTTGCTGTTGATATAAATATTAATTTTTCCCTTTGAACCCTTTCCAGGCATTATAGCTTTGCTCGTTACCATGGCTGCAGTTTTGTGTGAAACTACCAATGAAGCTTCCATCGATAATTTAACAAGTGATTCCCCAGAGAGTCAAAAATTTAAAGAGCTACTCTATACCAATGAACGTTTCCTCCAACATTTAGGCGCTGTCCTACCCTGGATGTTTAACAGAGGAGCATTTGATATCTGATATTATTCGAGTGTTAAACAAATATTTTAACTTTTATTAATTGAGTTGTTGTGTTGCAGGAAGTTTTTAAACAATTAATTAATAACATAACATGCAGTGCACTTGTAATTTATTTAATAACAGCAATAAATCTAAAATAATTAAAAATTAGTAAGGGGAGTGTAAAAAAAGCAATGATTCAGAATTTGATGTAACTTGTCCGATATCCTAATTATACCCTTCACCACACTGTGGTACAGGGTATTATGTCTTTGTGCATATGTTTGTAACAGGCAAAAGGAAACGAGATAGACACATGGTTCCTTTTGAGAATATGCATAGAATCACTTTCTGAGTCGATTTATGCATGTCCGTCCGTCCGTCCGTCTGTCTGTCGATGTAAAATTGTAAACAAAGTACAGGTCGCATTTATAATCCGAATTGGATGAAATTTAGCACAGGTCACTTATTTGGCCCAAGGACGAACCCTATTGAAATTGGGAAAAATCGGTTCAGATTTAGATATAGCTCCCATATATATATTTAACCGATTTAATGGAAACGGTCCCTATATATGTTTCGATTTGCACGAAATTTGGTACAGCCTAATCATTAAGGTCTAGAATGATGTCTGCCAAGTTTCGTAAAAATCGGTCCAGATTTAGATATAGGTCCCATATATAGTTTCGTCCGATTTCATCTAAATGGTGCCCCCAAAGTCCCTATATATCTTGCGATTTGCACGAAATTTGGCATAACGTACTGAATTCAGTCTAGAGTGATGTCCGCCAAGTTTCGAGAAAATCGGTCCAGATTCAGATATAGCTCCCATATATAGTTTCGTCCGATTTCATGCAAATGGTGACCCAAAGTCCCTATATGTCTTCCGATTTGCACGGAATTTGGTATAACGTACTGAATTGAGCCTAGAATGATGTCTGTCCAGTTTCGAGCAAATCGGTCCAAATAAAGATATAGCTCCCATATATAGTTTCGTCCGATTTCATGTAAATGGTGCACCAAAGTACCTATATATTCTTCGAATTTCACGAAATTTGGTATAACGTACTGAATTGAGCCTAGAATGATATCTGCCAAGTTTCATGAAAATCGGTCCTGTTTTAGATATAGCTCCCATATATAGTTTTGTCCGATTTCATGTCAATGGTGCCCCAAAGTCCCTATATTTCTTCCGATTTGCACGAAATTTGGCATAACGTACTGAATTGAGCCTAGAATGATATCTGCCAAGTTTCATGAAAATCGGTCCTGTTTTAGATATAGCTCCCATATATAGTTTCGTCCGATTTCATGTAAATGGTGCCCCAAAGTTCCTATATATCTTTCGATTTGCACGAAATTTGGTACAGCCTAATCATTTGGGTCTATGATGATGTCTGCCAAGTTTCGTGAAAATCGGCCCAGATTTAGATATAGCTCCCATATATAGTTTCGTCCGATTTCTTGTAAATGGTGCACCACATATATCTTGCGATTTGCACGAAATTTGGCATAACGTACTGAATTGAGTCTAGAATGATGTTTGCCAAGTTTCGTGAAAATAGGTCAAGATTTAGATATAGCTCCCATATATAGTTTCGTCCGATTTCATGTAAATGGTGCCCCAAAGTCTCTATATATCTTTCGATTTGCACGAAATTTGGTACACCCTAATCATTTAGGTCTAGAATGATGTCTGCCAAGTTTCGTGAAAATCGGTCCAGATTTAGATATAGCTCCCATAAATAGTTTCGTCCGATTTCATGTAAATGGTGGACCAAAGTCCCTATATATCCTTCGATTTGCACGAAATATGGCATAACGTACTTAATTGAGCCTAGAATTATGTCTGCCAAGTTTCATGAAAATCGGTCCTGATTTAGATATAGCTCCCATATATAGTGTCGTCCGATTTCATGTAAATGGTGCACGAAATTTGGTACAGCCTAATCATTTAGGTCTAGAATGATGTCTGCCAAGTTTTGTGAAAATCGGTCCAGATGTAGATATAGCTCCCATATATAGTTTCGTCCGATTTCATGTAAATGGTGCCCCAAAGTCCCTATATATCCTTCGGTTTGCACGAAATTTAGCATAACGTACTGAATTGTGCCTAGAGTGATGTCTGCCAAGTTTCGAGTAAATCGGTCCAGATTTCTATATAGCTCCCACATATAGTTTCGTCCGATTTCATGTAAATGGTGCACCAAAATCGCTATATATCTTTCGTTTTGCATGAAATTTGGCATAACGTACTGAATTGAGCCTAGAGTGATATCTGCCTTGTTTCGTGAAAATCGGTCCAGATTTAGATATAGCTCCCTTTTATTATAGATTGATTTTAAGTAATTGACGCACCAAGGAACCAATAGGAACAAAACGTTCTGAAATTAGTATAACCTAACCTGTGACAAGTTTGTTTGAAATCGCTTAATATTTGGATAGAGCTTCCATATATATTTTCGCCCGATTTCAAGTAAGTTGGGCATCAAATTCCTCATGTTAGTCAGATTGACATCAAATTGTGCACAACGTACAAAATTGAGCATAGAATTACGTAGTTGCGTTTTCTAGAAGTACAGACATAGCCCAACGGATGACTTATTTATATTTGTTTGAAGTCGATTAACATACTTTATGGATAGATCTAGGTAGATTCTCATTTAGATAAATATCACATATTTTTTTTCATCCAATTACATGTTAATAGTCCTGTTTAATATACCCATAGTGGTGAAGGGTATCATATAGTCGGCCCCGTCCGACTTTACTACTTTCCTTACTGGTTTTAAGCATCACTTTGTGAAATATATTAATGTCGTTTATACATAATAAACTAAGGACCTCGAAAACCAGTGCGCAATGCAGTAAAACTAGCCGGATCGACCCTTTACAACGCTATTGGAACTAAATTGCGAGCTACTATTGTTCCATATTTACCCTTCTTTGGATACCCTCCACCATAGGTATACTGGCAATTACTTGATAGTAGGTGTGACAAAAACCTCCACTATAATCCAAAATGTGGAAATTAAATATAAGTGAACCTATGCAAACAATATTTTTTGCAGATATACAAAATTACAGCCACTTTTGATGGCAAATTTCATTGTTATGAAGTTTTTTATCCACCAGGAAATACTGTCTCGACTACTACTGCAATGAGTAACGGTGGAATTATAATATAGGGCATACAGCTAAAAGTGGACCAGTATATACCTCGATACCTTCCGTCGCGCTAAACATTCACAATACCGAAAATCTATAGGTACCATTAAATGGCCTAAATGTCGACCGATATAGTTCATTTTCGCACCCCAAATTTAGGTTTTCCGAGAATCCAGAACACAAAATTACAGTAATTTCGGTTGGAAACCGTGGCTATACAAATATCAAAATATACAGACCATGATTTTTATACCCTCCATTATAGTATGGAAGGTATATTAATTTTGTTTTTCCGAAATAATAATTTCCCACCCTATAAAGTATATATATTCTTGATCAGCGTAAAATTCTATGACGTCATGTCCGTCTGTCTGTACGTCTGTTGTAATCAATCTAGCGTATAAACGAATTGAGATAGATCGCCAAAATTTTGCATAGAGTCTTTTGTCTGCAGGCAGATTAAGTTCGAAGATGAGATTTCATCCGAAATATCCCTACCAAAAATTATTAATATTCACCCCCTTTTAGGGGTATTCCTTATTTAACCCCCTTTTTATACCCTACACAACTATGTTATCAGCTTTGTGCAGCCCCAAGAGTTTGTAACACCGCGAAATATTGATCCCAGACCCACCTTTAAGCATACCCATCGTCATATCTCGACTAGCTGAGTCGATCTAGACATGTGTATCCGTCTGTCCATTATAATTTGTAAACACGATACAGGCCCTACACAACTATGTTATCAGGGTATTATAGCTTTGTGCAGCCCCAAGAGTTTGTACCACCGCGAAATATTGATCCCAGACCCACCTTTAAGCATACCCATCGTCATATCTCGACTAGCTGAGTCGATCTAGACATGTGTATCCGTCTGTCCATTATAATTTGTAAACACGATACAGGCCACAGTTACGGACCAATCTTCACGAAATTTTTCGTGTAGTATGGGTTCTGGGCAATGAAGACCACTATTGTTTTTGGTAAAGATCGGTTAATATTTAGGGGATGAAATGGACCAAATACTAAATTTTTGTCGGTTTTTCTGGTCGCTCCAGAGACCGCAATTATGGCCCAAACATCGTAACATGGAGAAGGGGATCGGGCCAAAGAATAAACATGCCGGTTTTGATAAAGATCGGTCACGGGCCAAATGGACCGTGAATTTTGTGTGAAAAATGACAAAATTTGTATTCTATGGTGTATATGTTTACTTCTAAAGGACATAGACCCGAGAAGTTGATAGTATACAAGAGGAGTAGCTGATCTTTTAATTGATACCAATTATATTGTCGTATGTTCTCGGATGTGGGAGTTACACTTAAATATTTACAGGTGCTTACGTATTCAGATATTATATAGTTACCCTTCCCACACTAGAGGGCGAAATATAACGCTGATTGATTTGAAATATTCCATGGGGTTCCAGTTATGGCCAAGGACAGCAATTGCAATTTTTGGTGATGATCAGATAATAATTTTGAATGAAGTGGATCGAAAACGTAATTTTTTTGCAATTTTTCGAATCGATATATAGGCCACAGTTATAAGCCGATCATCACCATACAACCCACGCTAAAGTCAATCTGAACAAGTAATAAGAAGGGCTGTACTGAATATTAGTAATATTCGGAAAATATGTCAGTGTATGGAAGATGTGCTGTTGACCTCTAATCGGGCAAGAGGGTGCAAATGCCACGAAATATTCCCAGGCTCGAAATAAACTTCTTTAGAAAATTAGAAATCCGTCGTAGTTGTGTAGGGTATCGTATGGTCGGCCCCGTCCGACTATACTGCTCCGCTCACTGGTTTATATTAAAATAGTTATCTGATTTGTTTCGCGTTTTGAGTTTGATTCTAATTATAATTATTTCACCTGCGGAGGATATCGAGAACGTTGAACTATAGTCCACATTTAGGTTTAGCCCCCCATATAATGATACCTACCGATTTTCGGTATTTTTGATATTTAGCGTAAAGAAATGTATTCTGATGCTGATGATGATGCCAATTTCGAAATAGAGCTATATCTGTTCTCAATTAGGCCGAAATAAATCCTGGGGATATTGGCGATGGCCTTATATAACTGTGGCCTCCAAATTGCAGTATTTGGGAGATGTTCAACCCTACCATGCGTCGTCAATATCGGACCACTTTCTGGGGTTTTTAGGAAAAAGTATCCATTAAAAATTGCTGATATTTGTATTTGGTGTACATTGAATTTTCGGTGTAGGTCCACGTTTGGGTATGTACGTTTTTTTTTCACTTGTTAGGTTTAAATATATGTTGCACTACATGCATCAATATAATTTTTAATGTCAACCTCTTCTCTTTCCGGTAACTTCCATGTCATAAAAATGTTTCGCACAAAAAGTTTTGGTCCATGTGATTCTCTAAAGTGATTTTTCGAAAATGAAGTGGCCTTAATTTGACATTATGTGTTTTCATTGGGTAACAAATCGGGCTATTAGGGCTGCTGCCATGTCTGTATTGTCCCATCTTTGTATTTTTAAGGTTCCAAAGTTAAACCGATTGGTAGAAAATTTTGCACTACGTACTGAAGTTAGTATAACAATGAAATCGGTTCAGATTTAGATATAGCTCCCATATATAGTTTCGTCCGGTTTTAAGTAAATGGTGCATCTGAGACTCAAAGTTAGGACGATTGCCGCAAAATTTTGCACAACGAGCTGAAGATAGTATACCATAACCTGTATAAATTTTCATTGAAATCGATTGGGATTTAGATACATTGAACATTATGACTTCGTCCATTAAAACAGTAATAAAATAATACAAAACAGTAATAAAATATACAAATCGAACTTAACGTATGTTATATGTGTATTCATTTTAAAGGTTATATCTGTACCTATCAGTAAAATTTATAAAAATCCAAAAAATATAAAATAAAAAAATGTATGAGGCTTGAGAGCAAACAAAGAGCCCCCCTCAGCCCTGCATATATTTTTTTAAGACTCAAGTGCTCCTCTTCTGTAAAGCCATGGCATTACAATTTGCAAATGTTTAAGATATCGTTCATTATAGTAAAGTATTTGTCGAAATTTTTCAGCATCTTCTGAATCCCCAACAAAGTTTTCAACATTTGCCACCTCGGTGGGGTCACACAGAACTGCAGACATAATTGAACAAACCACGATCGCCCCTGCAAAGAAAAAATCGAATATCACAAATTATTCATAAATATTTAAAGATAGTTTTTTATTATTCATTTGTAAGCTTACCCCAAATTCCATTCTTTATTAAGGAGGCATGAATATCTCTCAATTTCGGAAGTGGCTTGGAGTACTCTAACAATTTAAGGCTTTCAATTAAATGTTCATAATAATATTGAATTAATTCATCAAAATGTTGAACTTTCAGGTCAGCTTGAGTCGAGGATAAAATGAAGTAGAGTAAATCTTGAGCCACGGGGCCATATCGTGGCATTTGCAAGTCTACAAAATATGTTTCCTTGGGTGCGGAATTATCATCGTCATATTGAAACATAATATTATTACACCAAAAATCTCCATGATTGAGGGCAATAAATTCATCTCCTGAATTCTCTCCACTAACAAGTTGGGAATACATGGTATCTGTAAAATGCGAAAATAACGATTCTATCTGTCCATAATATTCCTCATGATTGGGTAGTTTCCTTGCAGCAGCCAAAACATGTTTAAGGGTGCCCTTAAACATTTGATCGCAGAATTCCCGAGAATCTTCAGTAAAAAACCCATCCAAATATTGTTCATCATATGGACCCTTTTCCAAGACTCTAACGGCTGTGGCTGCATGCCATTGGGCTATCTTACGCAGAACACATTTCGTGTGCATCATATCTAAACCATCTTGCCGTTTAACATTTCGAAAACCTCTTTCCGATAAATCTTCAAGTAGAATATATTCCTGTTCCACGGGTAATTTATAATATCTGGCACCGAAACGTACTTCCACATCCCCGCCTCCTGTACATCTCCTCCAGTTCAGGTACAATATCACGATACATGCCCGCCTCTTTTTTGAACATTTCCCATTTGGACATATGTTCGCGATACAACTCATTGTCTAAGGCCACTTTCATCATGAAATTTTTCACTTGATGGCTATCATCTGATAATAGAAGTTCAACTCGTACCCTTAACATTAGGGTGGCAAAATTTTCTCCAGGTCCCAAAGCATTGGCAACTTTAAAATTTTCAATTGCTTTGTAATCTCCAACGGCTTCACGTAAAGCATTTTCAAAAAGTTTCACATTGATCCATGATGGGACGTTGTTGTTGTTGTTGTTCTTATTTTCGTTATTTGTCATTTGTCAACAAACTAGCGTACGCACAGCACGTTTATAGAGTTGTTTACCGTAGAGCGATGTCCGCGATACTGAACTATCTAAAACCAAATTTCGAAGAGCTTAACTAAACTATGATGATATTCTAAACAAGTTCATAGCAAAAGTTTTAACGTTGCTCTTCGATCAAACAAATGCTATCAATTCAGAGTTGCCAACATTAATAAAATTGTTTATTTTAGGGCATTTATTTTATTTGACGTCATTAATAAACATTTTAAAAGATTATAAAACTTATTTGTAATTACGTTTGCAACAACTCGAATATTCCTCAGAAATCCTGTAAAATATGCCAATTTTTTTAACATAGCTGAGTGCGAATTTCATAGCTGAGTGCGATTTTAATAAAACTTGACACACGTTAAACTACACTAACATCGTAATGTAAAATGTTGTATCAATCGGCTTAACTTTGGATCTTTGGTGCATCATTTGCTTAGGACGAAACAATATATGGGAGCGATATCTGAACTGATTCCAAACAAACTTGACACACATTAAGCTATACTAACTTCAGTACGCTGTTCAAAATTTTGTGGCAATCGGCCTAACTTTGGGTCTTTGGAGCACCTATTACTTTAAATCGGACGAAACTATATATGTGAAACAATATGTGTAAATCAGAACCGATTTTTATACCCTTCACCACACTGTGGTACAGAGTATTATGTCTTTGTGCGTATGTTTGTAACAGGCAAAAGGAAACGAGATAGACAAATGGTTCCCTTTGAGAATATGCATAGAATCACTTTCTGAGTCGATTTACGTTTATGTGTGTTAAGTTTCCTGAAAATCGGTTCAGATTTAGATAAAGCTCCCATATATATTTCCGTCCTTTTAAATGTAAATGGTCCACCAAAGTCCCTATATATCTTTCGATTTGCACGAAATTTGGCACAGTGTAATGAATTAGGTCTAGAATGATGTGTGTTAAGTTTCCTGAAAATCGGTTCAGATTTACATATAGCTCCCATATATGTTTTCGTCCGATTTTAGTTAAATTGTGCACCAAAGTCCCTATATATCTTTCGATTTACACGAAATTTGGAACAGCATACTGAACTGAGTGTAGAACGATTCGTGTTAAATTTTGTGAAAATCTGTTCAGATTTAGATATAGCTCTATATATATTTACGTCCGATTTAAGGTAAATAAATGCACCAAAGTCCCTATATATCCTTCGATTTGCACGAAGTTTTTCATAGTGTACTGAATTAAGTCTAGAACGATTCGTGTTAAATTTCCTAGAAATCTGTTTAGATTTAGATAAAGTTCCTATATATATTTTCGTCCGATTTTAAGCAAATATGGCGTACTGAATTGAGTATAGAATATAGAATTTTATTGAAATTGGTGCAGATGCAGCCATAGCTCCTATATGTATTTCTAACGAGTGTCTGATTGAAATTAAATTTTTAACACCGAATAGCGTGTATCAGTTTTGCTATAAATCGTTTCAATAAATTTGTTTCATGGTCTAAATCTGCACGAATGAAATTAAATTTATCGTAGGTTGCAGAAAGACATAAGTATGTTTCATCGAGGGAACATTGACATGCAATTCTACGGATGCATATGTAGAATATACCCAAAGTGGTGAAGGGTATCATATAATCGACTCAGTCCGACTTTACTACTTTCCTTACTGGTTTTAATTTCAATAGGGTCCTTGGGCCAAATAAATAAGCTGTGCCAAATTTCATCCAATTCGGATTATAAATGTGACCTGTACTTTGTTTACAATTTAACATGGACAGACAGATGGACTGACATGCATAAATTGACTCAGAAACTAATTCTATGCATATTCTCAAAAGGAACCATGTGTCTAACTCGTTTCCCTGTACCACAATGTGGTGAAGGATATAAAAGTGGAAAATTTGTCATCGATAGAAATTTTCAAACGATCGACGACTTTTGTGGCGAAAATATTTGTGATTTTGTGGAAGTCTCCCAATGTCGTTCTTCTAAAGGAAAATATATGGAGTTGTTAACAGTCGGTCAGTAGTACTGTTGACAATGTAAATAGTGAGTCAATAGAAATTCAGTATTGCCATTTCCTACAGGGTAATTAACATTCAAACTCATCTTTTTATTTCATGGATTTAAAAATTTTTACATCAGATCATTAACTCCATTTTAAGGCTCTAGAACACCTCTATTGTGTAGCCAGGGTAAAATGACTTCCAAATGTTTCAGATAACGATCATTAAAATACAACAGCTGTTTAAATTTATCACCATCTTCAGAATTTCCAATGAAATTTTCCATGCTGGCAGCATCGGTTGGATCACACAAAACACCGGACATAATGCAACACATTGTTAGGAGGGCTACAACGTAAAATGCGAAAAATCCAATTTTAATCAATATTTTTATAATATAATGTTTCCTACTTACCCCAAACACTTTGTTTAAATAACGACTGATGAATATCCCTTAATTTTGGTAGCGGTTTCGAATATTCCAACAATTTCAAATGTTCAACTAAGTTGTCATAATAATACCGTATAAATTCATCGAAACAATTTATTTTCAATTGCAATTGTGTGGAGGACAATATAAAATAATACAAATCCTGAGCCACTGAACCATAACGTGGCATTTGAAAATCAACAAAATAAGTTTCTTTCAGTTGATTCTCGTCATCGTATTGAAACATTATGTTATTACACCAAAAATCTCCATGATTGAGAACTTTAAATTCCTCATCATCCTGATTGTCAATAATTTCTGCAGTAAGATATTGATTGAGGTCCTTTAATTTCTTTTCAAATTTCCCATAATATTCTTCATGATTCGGCAGCTTACGAACGGCACCTAGGATATATGGTATCATGCCATCAAATACATCTTCGGTAGATTTCATATAACTGCCATTAAAGAAACCATCCAAATAGAGTTTGTCATAGAGGCCTCTCTCGGCTACCCTCACGGCCGATGCCGCATGCCATTGAGCTAATTTTTTGAGTACAGCTTTGGCATGTTGCAAATCCAAACAATCTTGACGTTTGACATTACGAAAACCGCTAGTGGAGAGATCTTCCAAGAGAAGATATTCATGGCTAGTAACTGGTAAGTTATAAATTCTGGCACCAAAACGTATATTCACTCCTTTATTACGATAAAGTTCCTCGAACTCTGGCACCACATTGCGATACATACCCGCCTCGGTTTTAAATAATTCTAATTTGGACATTTGTTCACGATACATTTTATTATCCGGTGCTATTTTCAGCATAAATGATTGTTGTTTTATAGAATCATTACGCAGCACTACGTCCATATTCACTCTCAACATTATTGTGGCATAATTTTCACCAGGTCCCAAAGCATTTTTAACCTCAAACTTATGGATTCTTTTAAAATCCCCCACCGTTTCCTTTAAGACATTTTCAAATAATTCCGCATTAATCCAAGTTGGCAAATGATTATTTTGCATTTCCATAGTCGTTTCGAATGAGCGGAGAAAAAACTAAACACCTCCAAACTATTTGAAATAAAATTTAATACTAAAGTCAACATTAGAGAGATTGAGAAAATATCAACTAATTTCGTTGTAGAATTGCTGAATAAAATTACAACCGGGTTTCGATTGCATTCAGCAATAGTTCTCAAAATTGCCCATTGCATCTATAGAAGAACTTTGCCACTGCAATCCCCATTTCACAGATTAATTAATTCCAAATCGTGTTGAATGTTTGGCTCAATATTTTACAAAAACAAAACATGTTTTAATAATAGATACGTACATTGGCATGGGTCGGAGTTTATATTAAAAATGAACATTGTTGTTGAGGGTTTTTCTGCTTAAGATATAATTTGTCTTTATCAAGGTACCGGTATTATTATTCGTATAATGTAAATCCAACAAAACCGTTTAATATCTACGCCAATAAAAATAATGAAATAGGGAGAAAAAAGTAAATAAACAAGTATTACATAACATTTCAAACAAGTGAAACTTTTTATTTCCTCCTCCATCTGAAAAACTTGCATCTGTAGAAATATCTATCGAATGCAGACAGATACATTGTTGTCCCCTTCTCCTCGCTACAATCTCTCTATGTGTTTACTGTTTAGTACAGTCGAGTATGCGTATAACGAACACTTGTTATAACGAACATTCTTCGTAGCGAACACATTCCTTGGTCCCAATTTTTTTAGACATACTTTTCATACAAATCTTTTCTCTTATAGCGAACTACGGATATACCGAACTTTTTTATTCGGTTCCAACTTTCAGTTTTCATTTACAAAAAATACCAGGTTCGTCAAAGAAAAAGAAAAGTAACCTAAGTATTTCCAAAAGTACATAAAAACTACCAATATAGGAACCGAATATATTTTTTTCAGTTAATCCTAGGTTTTGCCTTACCTTGGATATAACGAACTAATTTGCTTGGTCCCTACTAGTACGCTTTAACCGTACTTTACTGTATTAACTTTATCACCCTAGAGGAAGCAATTTCATATAAATTATGGGTCAGAGACGCAATGTCTCACAGTGATATAAAATGCAGATGTAGCGTGCAGGAAGAAGTTGATATATTATTGTATGTTTATACATTATTTTGATAAGTTGTGGTACTGGGTATTATGTCTATATACATTTAATTGTAACCGAGAAAAGAAAACGAAATACACCCATAATTCAATTGTATCTAAAATTATATCTTTGAAACCTGTAAGGATTTAAGATATATGTTCGTCTGATTTTCTGTAAATGGTGCACTGAACTGCCATGGTTTGTCCAATCAGTCGAAATCTGGAATTGCGTACTGTATTGTGTGTTAAGTTTTGTTGAAATCAGTTTAGATGTAGATATAGGTCCGATATATTTGTTCTTGTGAACAAAAATGTTCCCATAGCAATGACTTTATTAATGGGGTGGCTTAATGAGCCTATAATGCGGTGTGTTAAATTTCGACTAAACCGCTTAGTATTTATATATAGCTACCATTTTTAAAATGTATAATACTCAAAGTTTGTTCGATTGAACAGCGTACCAAAATAAGTATGAAATAACGTATGTAAAATTTACTTATGCCTTTCACCACACTGTGGTACAGGGTATTATGCCTTTGTGCATATGTTTGTAACAGGCAAAAGCAAAGAGATAGACACATGGCTCGTCTGTAGATGTTAAATTGTAAACAAAGTACAGGTCGCATTTATGATTCGATTTTAATGAAACTTTGCACAAGTCACTTATTTGGCCCAAAGACGAACCCTATTGAAGAAAAATAATTTACAAAAAATTGTTGTTATTGTTTTGTTGTTGTTTTTTTGTAATTAAAGAAAAGTCCTTATTTTTTGATTGCGGGCATGATAACTCCTCACTGGTACATCGGAATCTGAAAATTCCAACGGTTTAAGAAAAAGTACATGTCTGGCTCTGGTATGAATTAGGATTATTGACTTCGCTCTAAAATTAACAAAATGGAGGACCTTTGAAATAAATATTTTTGGAAAATCGCCGATTTTTGACCAAAAACCAAGTCAAACAAGTGAAAAAAACGCTTCATCATAGAAATACCTCCACCATAGAAATACTAAAAATTTTTTGAAATGAAAATATAGGGAACATTCATATAACTACAATTTTACAATTCGATTGATATAAACCAAATAGACAGTTCAGCAAATTCAATGGGGGTTTCCCTAAAATCTTAAAACCCGAAAAATTTACATAGGTGTATACAAAATCCTGAAAAAAATCCATAGTAGTGTATAAAATCCTGAAAATACTTCAAATTATAGGGTGAAGATCATTCATGTAAATGTTTTTTATTAATTTATCTTTCGAGATGAGCTACATGATCGGAGTTGCAATGAAAAGGAAAGCCAGAGAGATACTAATATATGGACCTGGTTACTTAAGCGGCTCATCAGGCATTGGGCAATGTGGCTTACAAATGTCTTTACTTGATAAGTTGTATTTATGTCGACTATTGTTGCGAAATTGCATCTACGAATTTAACCTCAAGGTGTTTGGCATCACACCAGAACATTCCTTTTCAGAGCAGATTTTTCTTGTAGTGACGGACTTTTTTCCATACAGGCTACAATATTTTTCTTCAATGGTATGCAACTGCATAACCAACGGCGAAACATATGGCCACATCGACTAAATCGTTTTAGAATTCCATATTATGCAGGATATGAACGGAAAATTTCGTCTAAAGAATATATGGTGAAATACAGCTATATGGCGATAACCCCAACACTCGGAACAAATTAGCTAACTATTTTAATATAAACAAGTGAAAAAGCGTTAAGTTCGGCCGGGCAGAACTTTGCATACCCTCCACCATAGATATACTGACAGGTACTCGAAATAAAAATATAGGGAACATACCAAAAAGTGTACCTATACCGACATTTCTATAAACCGATTATGGTTCTAAATGTTGAGGCTAGACCACATGTTTCTTTGGACCAAATATATATATATATATATATATAAGGTTAATTATCGACCTTATGTTCTGGGGACGACCCCAAGAAGGGGGCGAATATTAATAATAATTTTTAATTTTGGTTGGGAGATTTGTTACCATATACGACTACAAAATACCAAATTGCAGCAAATTCGGTTACCAACCCGCTCAAGAACCTTCAAAATACCGAAAATTGAGGGTACCCTTATGTTGGGGCTATCAGAAAGAGTAGACCGATGTTTATAATTTTTAGTTTAGATATGTGGGACCAAATAAGAACACAATGTACCAAATTTCAGCGAATTTGGTTGCAAATCGCGCTCAAGAACTCCAAAATACCAAAAATTGGGGGGTACCCTTATATGGGGGCTATCAGAAAAAGTGGACCGATGTTTATAATTTTTTATGTAGATATTTGACACTAAATAAGAACCCAATGTACCAAATTTCAGCCTTACCCTTATATGGGGGCTATCGGAAAAAATGAACCTATGTTTATAATTTTTGGAAAACAGGAACTTAAAATTTCAGCGAATTCGGTTGAAAAACGAGATCAAGCTCCAAAATACCGAAAACTGGGGGGTGGCTATGCCTAAATCGGCTATATCCCATCTTCTTGCCTGCAGACAAAAGACGTTCTATGCTAAATTTTGGCGATCTAGCTCAATTCGTTTAGAGGCTAGAGTGATTACAACAGACGGACAGACGGACATGCTTAAATCGTCATAGAATTTTACTCTTATAAAGAATATATATACTTTATAAGTTACAAACGGAAAAACAAAACTAATATACCCTCCATACTATGGTGGAGGGTATAAAAATAAGGAAGATCTTCACCGATTGGCTTTATCCTAGTTCATACGATAGCTATACTCTCACAGAGAAACGAGTAAAAATTTGGAATCGATTGGATTAATAGTTTTTGAGTTTAAAGAAAAACGCGTTTAAAGTTTGGGAAGCCGTCACTTGATGCTGACACAATAAATCGGCTATATCTTCAAGAGTTTTTGAAATTTTGTAGGGACATTCTTTAATTAGTGTATATTCGAATTATATCAAAAAAAAAAAAAATTTTTTTTGACCCCGAGAATGGTGGGAGGTCCCCTTATATGATGAGTGTTGAGTTTCGTGAAAATCCTTTCAGATTAAGATATAGCTCCCATATATATTTTCGTCCGATTTTAGATAAATAGTGCAACCAAAATCCCTATATATCCTTCGATTTGCATGAAATTTGGCATAGCGTACTGAATTGAGTATGGAATGATGATGGTTAGTTTCGGGAAATCGGTTCAGATTTAGATATATCTCCCGTATATAATTTTATAAGATTTTATATATATATATATATATATATATATGTATATATATATCCTTCGATGGTGCATAGCCTAACTCCATATATATATATATACGTCCAATTAAATGTTTGTCCGATTAACACGAAATTTTGCACAACGTATCAACTTGAGACTTGAATGACGTTATTGCGTTTTGTTGAAATTGGTGCAGAAACAGTGCGGCGTACCAAATAGCGTGTACCAATTTTGCTATAAATCGTTTTCCATTAATTTGTCTCATGGTACGCACACGACTCTAAATCTGCCCGAATGAAATTAAATTTATGTTTCTTCGGATGAACATTGACAAGGAAATGTTACTTGTTAAAATATTGACATCTAATTTTATTCTCATCATAGCTAAAACATATATTTCGGCAATTTGATAAATCACTAACCATTTAGCCCACTTGTAATTGTCAAAATTATTATGCCCATAGCTGTATATTGAAATAAGCACAATAATACTATTATTACACCTTTGTGAATAACATACAGCTTTTCAGTTTAAACGCTTTTTGCAACATTGTTAAATACCTTTAAGAACAAGTATCCAAAACTTAAAAAAAAGCTCATTTGTTTTTGTATGATTTTAAAAACTTTTTGAATCTTTTTCTTTTATGTGCTGAAAGGAAATCCAAAATGTGCTGACAGTTGTTATTTACCTTGCCATAATGTCGGACACCACGAACTGTTCTGCAAACACACCTGTGTGGATAGAAGCGAATCTGTTCAACAAAGTTTTACGTGAATCTGGTCAAAATGTTAAAGAAATTCACAATTACAGAGTCTTCCCAGCCTTGGCTCCAGGAGAAAATTATTCCTCAACGATGTTAAAAGTTCTGTTGAATATTGAACTGGAAGATGGTTCACAAGATAGTCAAACTTTTATGTTAAAGGTGCCCAACAAAAATCAGCATTTACAAGAACAGTGGGATGCATGGCAGCAGTTTGAAACCGAACAACAAATGTATGAAGAAATTATTCCAGCATTCGAGAAGGCCTATTGTAGAGTGGGTGAGGAAGTTCGATTTGGTGCCAAATCTTTTCAATTGGATGTCGAGGAAAAACACATTTTGCTGGAGGATTTAACAAAAAGTGGATTTAAGACATTGAAACGGCAAAATGGTCTTGATATGGAACACTGTAAAAGTGTTTTGCGCAAAATGGCTCAGTGGCATGCAGCATCAGCGGTGTGTAAAGAATCATATCCAACATTACTCACAATGAGAGGAGTACTGAATGAAAATGCCAAAGTCCTGTTGGATCAAATGTTTAATGATTGTCTAAAATATACCCTGAAGGCGATCAAAAAATTACCCCAACACGAGCAGTATTACGAAAAATTGGAAAATTTAAGTGAAGACTTTGCCGGAAAATTACGCTCCATTTTTCAAGCGGACGACAAAGAATTTAATGTCTTAAATCATGGGGATTGCTGGTCCAATAATATTATGTTCCAATACAACTCAGTGGGTCAATTAAAATCAACCTATTTTGTGGATTTTCAAGTACCACTCTATGGTTCACCAGCAATGGATTTATATTATTTTATATTATCATCAGCCACATTGGAATTGAAAATTGACCATTTCGATGAAATGATTCAATATTATCATAAACATTTAGTTGAAAATCTAATATTGTTGGAATATAAAAATGAGCTGCCAACGTTGCGTTGCATTCATGAAATGTTGCTGAAATATGGTATTTGGGGTAAGAATTTAATTCAGATTTTATATTTAATTTTTTTTTTATATTTTTATTTGTCACTTTTAGGCGTCTTTACCTTTAGTGGCATTATGGCGGGAGTACTTTGCGAATCTACCGATTTATCTAATATCGATCACTTGGCTGAAGAATCTGCAGATGCTGAAGCATTTAAAAGTCTATTATTTTTAAATGATCGATTTGTAGAGCATTTAAGTATAATTGTTCCCTGGTTGAATTCAAGAGGCGCTTTTGATTATTAAAGTTTATAAATTATGTCAAAAACACAATCGACAGCACCAAGTTTATGTTTGAAACCAGTAAAGAAAGTAGTAAAGTCGGACTGGGCCGACTATTTGATACCCTTCACTACTTTGGGTATATTCGGGTAAACATTGACAGGAAATTGAACGAACTCAAATTTGTGATCTTTATCTAAAAGCGAACCGACTAACATCAATTCATACAGATGCCTTTCTGCAACTTATGTTAAATTTCATTTCATTCGGGATATTTAGAGCCGTTTGGGTATAAAGGAACTGATCGATTTAAGGGTACTGAGAATGGGTGGGGTCTCCTTAAAGCAAACTTGATAAACGCTATTCGGTATGCCGCATTGTTAAAATTTAATCCCAATCAGACACCGGTTCGAAATGTATATGGAAGTTAGGTCAGACTCTGCACCACTTTCAACAAAACAAAATAACGTCATTCTAGTCTCAATTTGATACGTTGTGAAAATTTTCGTATCAATCGGACAAACACCATTTACCTAAAATCGGACGAAAATATATATGTGGAAACTGTTGAATGCGGCTTTATAGTCGACAAATAGGTGGTATGTGTCGATGTGTTTTTCGTGGGTCTTTTCCAGGATTTGGCGCGGAGTGAAAATCTGGTCAATCGTGGATTTGCCAGGTTTGAAGCCGCATTGGTATGGTCCGATGATGTCATTGACCATTGGCTTCAATCGTTCACACAGCACACTGGATAACACTTTATATGCGATAAACTTTCTCCTCTCTCCTTTTGCTCCCGACAATTCTCCATCACGTTAAATCAGTCTGCAGGGTATATGGCAGCTATTTCTCATCAGTAGCATTACAACACTCCTGATCGTACCATGGGTTTCTTGGTGGTGGTTTTTGGTACCCAATTGTTCCTTTTGCTGCAGTTTGTAGGGAAATTCTTTGCCATTGTAAATCACAAATTTGAAGTGCTTTCTTGAATATGCAAAATATACATAAGTTGAGTTGCTTTTCGACGTCAGTTTCCGTGTTGTATTAACACACCTTTGCTGCAACATTAAGACGGGTGCGTACCTTGGCTGCCACAAGGTAATGGTCCGAATCGATATTCGCTCCTCGGATCGATCGGACGTCTAAAACACTAGATGAATGCCATCCGTCTATCACAACATGATCAATTTGATTTCTCGTTACTTGATCCGGAGAGATCCAGGTGGCCTTGTGTATATCGAATTTGAATCTGGTGCTGCTAACTACCATGTTTTTTGCTGCCGCGAAGTCAATCAACCTCATGCCGTTGTCGGATGTTTCTTCATGAAGGCAGAATTTTCCGACGGTGGGGCCAAAGATATTTTCCCTTCCGATTTTTGCATTCAAATCTCCTAGCAGAATTTTAATGTCATGGCCAGGGCAGCGGTCATATGCTGTATCTAGGCCGTAGGAGCATGGGGACAAATATGGCTGATGTAGAAGAACTTAGCTTTTATACGGATTATAGCAATTCGCTCTTCTACTGGAGTGAATCTGGAGACAGGGTCTTTTATTCTCCTGTTAACCATAAATCCGCAGCCAAATTCATGTCTCGTTTCATGGCAGCTATAATGCAGGGCGTAATCGTCGGATTTACTTACGCCTGTCCCTTTCCATCGCATTTCCTGTAAGGCAATAATATCGGCTTTGTACTTCTTGAGTATATCCGCCAAAGCGAATACTGCGCCTGTTCTGTACAACATGCGCACATTCCAAGTGCAGATTCGCAGCTCGTGGTCTTTTATACGTTTGCGGGGGTCGTCAACATTAGGGGGGTTTGGTTTTCTTTTTCTTTGCTTTTTCATAGTAGGTTGGGTTTTCCGAGAGTGTGCAACTAACCCGACGCCTCAACCCATTTTTTATAGTTCTTATGGGTGAACTCGCGGCACTTATTAGCTCACTATTTCATCGGGTGATGAGAATAGCTCCCCAGGTGGCACCGCGGGGAGGTCAGTGTCCACAATTGAGATGAAAGAGGGACCAAGATAAGCCTGGGCTTCGCCATGTTAAAGCCAATCAAAGCCGTTGCTTGGTATCTATCATCCCCTACACCACCCCCCAAATCGGTACGATGTGTCAAATTTCACGTAAATCACAAATTTGGTCCTTCTTTTACATTGAATATGACGAAAATATACATGGGAGCTATATCTAAATCTGAACCCATATTCACGAATTTATTACCATATATGACTAAAAAGCCAAGAGATTTGCTACTCAATAAGAGCTAAGTACTAATTTACAGCCAATTAGGTCGAAAAATGCGATCAAAACCTCCGAAATACTGATAATTGGGGTTACCATTATGTGGGGGCTACCAGAAAAAGTGGACCTATATTTATAATTTTTAGTGGAGAAATTTAGTACCCAATAAGAACCCAATTCGGTTAAAAAACGCGCTCAAAAACCCCAAAATAGCGAAAATTTGGGCGTGCCCTTATATGGGAGCTATGCATAAACGTCAAATCTTCCACCTAAAAATTATCAATGTCGCTTTACGTTTTGTACTTAGCGGGTCAAATGAACCAAGTCTTTTGGTTGCAAAGAGACAAATTTGCATGCTCACTTCTGGAAAATATGATCCGATGAGCTGCTGACTATTAATCTAATATCGATTCTATTTATGTATATGTTGATATCATGATATCACACGAGATGCTGCAAACATAGCGAAGTATGGCCCACGCTCAGAATACAAATCACAGAAAGTTAAAGCTCAGTGGCCTTTGTGTAAGGTATCATATGCTCGGCCCTACTATACCGACCATATCACTCCGCTCATTGATTTTTAATGGAATTTTAAAAGAAAATTTACCACTCCCATATATACAATCTTTTGTGATCGATTCTGACTATAAATGGTCGTGCGTTTAAATAGATATGGCAATCTTATTAATTGATTTTACTATGATTTTTACACGCAAATTAAAAATAGAGAGATAGATACAATTTTTATACATATACAAAAATTACGCGGTAAAATTTTTTTGATATTTATTTTAGTAATTTTCTAATATTGCACTATTAAACAATATAAACTAACACATATTAATTAAAATTTTTCTAATTTAAAATAGTTACACAAATTGCAAAAACAACACTTGATCACTACGATGATAAATTAATAATCAAGCAATCCACGATTCAATAGCCATGGTAATATAGCTTCCATGTGTCTACGATAGCGGGGATTCGAATACATTTGTCTCTTGAATGCGATACCAGCATCAGTTTCGCCCATAAAATTATCAAGGCTGGCATTTTCATTGGGATCACATAAAACGGCAGACATTACGCCGGCCACGGTGGAAAAGGCTAAAAATGGATTAATTAGTTTTACATTAGGGCGAAAGCATAGCTTTATAGAATACACATACCCCATATGCCATCCTTATAGAGCATCAAATGTAAATCCTTTAACGATGGTATTTTCTTTGGATACTTCAATAATTTCAAATTCTCCTCCAAATGTTGATGATAGTAGGCAATAAGATAGTCAAATTGCTTTAACTTTATTTCATATTGTGTAGAGGATAAAATGAAATACCACAAATCTTGAGCCGGTGATGTATAACGAGGTATTTGATAATCCACAAAGTAGGTTTCGAGAATCTCACCCGTATCTTCGTCATGACAGAACATAATATTATTTACCCACGAATCACCATGATTGAGAACCTTAAAATCATCATCATATTTAAACTCGGCCGTTTTAAACATCACTTCCGCAATATGACCATACAAATCTGTAACTTTCTCATAATACAATTCCGAATTTGAATAATCCTTAAGACATTCGAAAAATATCTTTTTTGAAGAATCATACATTCCCTTGATTAAGTCAAATGATTTGGTTCGGATATAGCCGTCATTGTATAGATCTAAGTACATGCCTTTAGTGGCAACTCTCACAGCCGAGGCAGCATGCCATTGGGCCATTTTCTTAAGTAAACTCTTAGCATGAGCCATATCGAGACCTGCCAAGCGATCGGCATTACGAAAGCCTTTCTCTTTAAGATTTTCCAATAAAATGTAGGCTTGATCGGTGGGTAGGGAGTACGATTTTGCACCAAACTTCACATTCACACCTGCATCGGCATATATTTGTTCTAATTCCGGCACAACTTCAGAATACATGCCTTTTTCGCAACCAAATATATCATGAGTTTCCATCATTTCACGGAAGAGATCAGTGTCATGGCCAACTTTTAGCATGAAACTTATCGGTTTCGTGGATTCATCTGAAATGAAGTATAATTAAAAAAAAAGAAACTCAATATAAAACATCTAGAGGTACCGGATTATGTCTGTGTAAATTATTGACCGGAATATTGTATTTAATTTTAATTTAAATGTTCCCTTATAATGTAGGCTATGAAACTTTTGATCCGAACTTAATTCCTATTTTAAATAATCACCGCATATTACCTTTCAATTTAACGACAAATTCCGCCTTAAGCATAACGGTACAATAATTTTCACCTGGCGCCAAAGCACCATTAACTTTAAAATCCACAATTTCATTATATTCCGATTCGACCTCCCTCAAAGCCTCCTCAAATAGTTTTGCTTCAATCCATTTCGGAACATTTGAAGCGCCTGAATCATTGTTGTTATTATTATTAGCACCCATCGATTATATTGTTATAGCACGTCAATTGAATTCGTAAAACAAGATTTGCGGCACGCGTTAGTTTATGCCAACTGTTTGGACACCCGCCGCGACAATCAACAAATGTGTTTCTTAAACGACTGTAAAAGCTTATCTGACAGAACGTTCAAAACAAATTCTCAACTTATACAAGTGCTTGAGATACACTATTCCACTATCTACTCAATGCAACGACGACAAACATGACTGGTGAAATTTTATTGTTGTTGTTGCTATTGCTTTAACTCTTCAAATATAAATTTCATCATATTCGAAAAGCTTTTTGATTTGTTTATTAACAGAGACGTTGCTAAATAAGCTCAAGCACTAGAGTTTTGAACTATTGCGAAGCGAATTTGTGTTCTATTTCGCGAAGTGAAAGATGTGTTTAAAACAATTCGTACCCCCTCATGAGAGACCCTCACTGCTAAAAGCTGTAACTTGATTCTGTTTTGATCGAATATTTTCTCATATAGATATTTTCGCTCGTGATCACAAAACCGTCGCCTAAAATGTATAAAGGAATGATATATTGGAGATTTGAAATAATATGATTTTTTATACCCTTCACCACACTGTGGTACAGGGTATTATGTCTTTGAGCATATGTTTGTAACAGGCAAAAGGAATCCAGATAGACCCATGGTTCCTTTTAAGAATATGCATAGAATCACTTTCTGAGTCGATTTATGCATGTCCGTCCGCCCGTCCGTCCTGTTGATGTTAAATTGTAAACAAAGTACATGTTGCATTTATGATCCGATTTGGATGAAATTTGGCAAAGTTAACTTATTTGGCCCAAGGACGAACCCTATTGAAATTGGTTCAGATTTAGATATAGCTCCCGTATACATTTTCGTCAGATTTAATTTAAATGGTGCACAAAAGCCCCTATATTTCTTTCGATTTGCACGAAATTACAGTGTACTGAATTGAGTCTAGAATGATGTGTGTTAAGTTTCCTGAAAATCGGTTTAAATTTAGATAGCATATGAGCACTAAAGCAGCGTTATTTCTTTCGATTTGCCCGAAATTTGGCATAGCGTACTGTTTTGAGTCTAGAGTAATGTGTGCTAAGATTCGTGAAAATCGGTTCAGATTTATATATAGCTCCTATATGTATTTTCATCCAATTTTATGCACGAAATTCGGTACAGTGTACTGAATTGAGTCTAGAATGATGTGTGTTAAGTATCCTGAAAATCATTTTAGATTTAGATATAGCTCACATATATATTTTCGTCAGATTTTATGTTAATGGAGCACCAAAGCTGCTATATTTTCTTCGATTTGTACGAAATTTGGCATAACGTAATGATTGGAGTCTAGAGTAATGTGTGCTAAGATTTATGAAAATCGGCTCAGATTATATATATTTTCGTCCGAAGAATCAAATTTAGGATTGACACGAAATTTTGCACAACGTATTTAAGTTGGTATAGCCTAGCACGTGTTAAATTAATATATTTAATTGAGCCTAGAATATTGCGTTTTGTACAAATTGTTTAGGAGCAAATGTTGCTCCCAAATATATTTTCGACTGACTGACCAAAAAATAAATGAAAAATGTACCAATTGAGAATAGATTTTGAACAGCGCTCTGTGTTGGTGACATTATTATTATTTATTAATTTAAATGATATTTTTCTTTTTTTATTATTTATTAATTTAATTGATAATTTTCCTGTACAACAAGACAAAAGTCTTATTAGTGGCGCATAATGATTAGTTTGATTTACATTGGTTTACAAAATATTGTCCCATTGCACAAAAACAACTCTAAATCTGCCCTAATGAAATGGAATTTGTCATATGTTGCCGAGGACATGTGTGTGAATTGGTGTACCCAATAAAAATCCAAAAATCCAATCAATACTAGTAACTGTCAGTATGTCCTATGGTGGGGGATATCGAAAGTTCGACCAGGCCGAATTAAGGTTTTTTTCACTTGTTTAACTTAAGGGGACCCCCATTCTCGGGGTCAAAATTTTTTTGATTTAATTCGATTCTATAATAATTCAAGAATGTCTCTACAAAATTTCATGTGAAAATCTCAAGAACTGAAGATATAGCCGATTTATTGTGTCAGCATAAAGTGACGGCTAAAGGGCTTCTCAAACGGGGGCACGATAACTCAAAAACTAATAACCCAATCGATTCCAAATTTTTACACGTTTCTCTGTGAGTGTATAGCTATCGTAAGAACTAGGATAAAGCCAATCGGTGAAGATATTCCTTATTATACCCTACACAACTATGTTGTCAGGGTATTATAGCTTTGTGCAGCCCCAAAAATTTGTAACGCCGCGAAATATTGGTCGTAGACCCACCTTTAAGTATACCGATCGTCATATCTCGACTAGCTGAGTCGATCTAGACATGTGTGTCCGTCCGTCCGTCTGTCCATTATAATTTGTAAACACGATACAGGCCACAGTTATGGACCAATCTTCACGAAATTTTGCATGTCGGTAGGGTTCGGCCCAATGAAGACCCCTATTGTTTTTGGAAAAGATCGGTTAATATTTAGGAGATGAAATGGACCAAATACTAAATTTTTGTCGGTTTTTCTGGTCGCTCCAGAGGCCGCAATTATGGCCCAAACACCGAAATTTTGCATGGAGTCTCTGGTCGGGCCAGAGAATAAGCATGCATGTTTTGATAAAGATCGGTCAATATTTAGCGGGTCAAATGGACCCTAACTTTTGTGTGAAAAATGACAAAATTTGTATTCTACACCGTATATGTTTACTCCTGAAGGACATAGACCCAAAATGTTGATAGTATATTAAAGAGGAGTGGTTGACCTTTAAATCGATACCAAATATATTGTCGTATGTACCCGGATGTGGGAGTTACCCATAAATATTTGCAGGTGGTTACGTATTCATATATTATTTAGTAACCCATTACCGCACTAAAGGGCGGAAATATAGAGCTGATCGCTTTGAAGTTTTTCATGAGGATCCAGATATGGTCAAGGACAACGCCCATAATTTTCGGTGGTGATCAGATAGTAATTTTTGGATAAAGTGGACGAAAACTTATTTTTTTGTGTAATTTGAAGTCGATCTATAGGCCACAATTGATAGCCGAACTTTTCAACCCGAAGGGTGAAGGGAATCTAGACAAGAAATTAGAAAGGCTGTACTGAATATTAGTAACATTTGTTGACCTCTAGTCCGTCAATAGGGTGCAAATATCGCGAAATATTGCCCAACCTCAGAACGTAAAACCTCAGAAAGTTAGACTTTCGTGGAAGTTGTGTAGGGTATCATATGGTCGGCCCCGTCCGACTATACTGCTCTGCTCACTGGTTTTTTAACTTGGTTTTTGGTCAAAAATCGGCGATTTTCCAAAAATATTTTTTTAAAGGTCCGCCATTTTGTTAATTTTAGAGCGAAGTCAATAATCCTAGTTCATACGAGAGCCAGACATGTACTCTTTCTAACACCGTTGGATTCCGATGTTCCAGTGAGGAGTTATCATGCCTTTTTAAGGACTTTTCTTTAATTACAAAAAACAACAACAAAGCAATAACAAAAAATTTTTGTAATTTATTTTTCTTCTCTTTTAAATCTTCAAATATATATGTGCAAAGTTACAAACCTTAACAAGCATTTGCCAGCCCATTGAAAATCTTGAAAAATTAAAAACGAGAATGGGTGGGGTTCCCTTAAAACGGTTTGTAAGGATCACTCACGGTTTGAAAAGGTGTATCTTGGAAATGTCTAATGAAAAAAGTTTTCATATATTGTAAAAATTTCTTCAGATCTAATTATACATCCGAATATTTATGGCTTAGTTAGAAATTGAAAAATTGCGTTCAGATAATTCAAATTATCTGAACATGTGAAGATGTCGTTAAGTTCGACCGGGCGGACCTTCACCACGAGGTGGATCTTCAAAATATCTAAAATCGATCGATACCAACTAGCTAGAACCTTGAACTTAAGATAATGTCGAGTGACCTTTATTATGTAGGAACACCTACTTATCGTGAATATGGTCTACGAAGAATTTTTTACTCATTAGTGCCTGGGAATATAAAATTACAGCTACTTCGTATTGACTACAAATAAATTACCTTTTTTATTTATGGTGGTGACTACAGAGGCCTATTTGTATAAAGCGTAAACGCTATAACACAAGGGATATAGTGCAAATTGAGTCTTCGATAGCTCCAAAACAAGCGAACGAAGAGTTCTTGTGATCGCAAAAGAGATACTAGTAATGTCAATCAGCATACGTGATTGATCCAGCTCGGAAAGTTGAGTCAGAACATATTAAACTTATAGAGGACATTTGCTAAAATCCCATTTCCAATACCAACCAAAAATATCCTGTCGATAGAAAAGAATGGAATTGGACGGAATTAAATATAAATAAATTTAAAATTTTAGACTCTGCCAAATGTCGTGTAAATCGGACAATCATTGATAGATTAGTGCACCATTTACATAAAATCTAATGAACATCTATGTCGGAGCTGTATCTAAATCTGGACCGATATTAATGAAACTTAGCATAATTAAATATATTTTTTATAGCAGCGTATTTTGTCAACAGGTGCGTCACGTTTAGGCGTAATTATAATATAACGGTACCTCGAGTGTCGGTATTTTGAATTGTGTCATTTTGACAATTTTTAAGCTACTTCTCGTTTTTGTTGATGAACTTCACATTACAGCTGATATTTTTTTGTAAATGTTGCCAGAATCAACTTTTGTGAGGACTGTCATCGTTAAGTATTATGTATTTACTAGCCGAACCCGTGGCGCTTCGACGCCCCTACTAAAGTAATTGACATAGGATAGTTCACGTAGAAAACTTTTTTTATTTAGTTTAAAATCTACTATTTGATGGCATTTGACCCTTCTGCCAAACTTATATTTTCTTCAATATTCACATGTTTTTCACATTAATCGTTCAAAAAGTAATACAATCCTTCATTTCAATATCCACCAACCTTTATATCTGTATTCTCAGCTGTGTCCCATACTCTCTCTGAATAATATAGCATAGATCCCTGCTGTATAATCCTAGTTAAGTTGGAATTTTGTATCTTTAATTGTTTCATTGCCTAAAAAGGTTTTTAAGGGAACCCCACCCATTCTCGATTTTAATTTTTCAAGATTTTCAATGGGCTGGTAAATCAATACTAATGCTTGTTAAGGTTTGTAACTTTGCACATATATATTTGAAGATTTAAAAGAGAAGAAAAATATTTTACAAAAAATGTTATAATTGTTTTGTTGTTGTTTTTTGTAATTAAAGAGAAGTCCTTATTTTTGATGGCGGGCGTGATAACTCCTCGTATGAACTAGGATTATTGACTTCGCTCTAAAATTAAAAAAAGCCGCACCTTTGAAAAAATATTTTTGGAAAATCGCCGATTTTTGACCAAAAAACCAAGTTAAAAAATAAGGAAGATCTTCACCGATTGGCTTTATCCTAGTTTATACGATAGCTATACACTCACAGAGAAACGTGTAAAAATTTGGAATCGATTGGGTTATTAGTTTTTGAGCTATCGTGCCCGCCATTCGCAAAAGAGAAAAACGCGTTTAAAGTTTGAGAAGCCCTTTTAGCCGTCACTTGATGTAGACGCAATAAATCGGCTATATTTTCAAGAGTTTTTGAGATTTTCACTTGAAATTTTGTAGGAACATTCTTAAATTAGTGTAGAATCTAATTAAATAAAAAAAATTGACCCCGGGAATGGGGGGGGGGGTCCCCTTAAAAGAATGTATTGCCGAACCTAAATTGTCTTAGCTGTATATAGTATCTTAGTATTTTTAAGAAACCGAAATAGTTTTAGCCATATCCGTTTAGTCAACTATACTTAATTTCTGGTAATGAACACATTTTGTTTTTATGTCATCTAGGATGATAACCCACCACAGATTTCAGCTTCTTTATTACTTTGAATCCACAATCCGAATTTCGATTTTAGTTATATATCGTATATTGCTGGAGGATATTTTTATTGAATTCATAGTAATTTTCTCCAATAATGGTAGAATTATTAAAATTCCAAAAATTTTCAAAATTGATATGTTTTTTTCACAAACTGACAAAATGTAAAAATTATAATGTCAATTTTTTTTTTTCATTTTACACAATTTTTATTTCAACATGTGATTATAATGGAGGAACTAAAAACAGCAGACGTCAGTGGAATTACTGAACTGGTGGTTATTATCATTACTGATAATGTCATAATAAAACCAAAAATTATGAGTCGAAAGTTATTGATTTGGACCAATTTTTTACTTTCTGGTCGTTGAAGATTGGATCTGTAATTATCTGAGTATAACACACACTTTCATGAGCCGATTTATTCTACATATTCAGATATATGCATAGAAAATGAATATTAGTTCAGAGGTATATCAACTGTTGATGATATCGACATCCCGAAATTTTGGAAGTTGATCTTGTCTATCTTACTTCAATTCGATTTTATGACTGACTGAGAAATTGTCTGTGCAGTCTATTCAGCGATTTTTTTTTTGTCTATTTCATATGTATAGATAGATGCAATGCAATGGGGAGTACATTACCGGCATTGTACCACGCCATTTTTTATAGGGATGATGCATATTTGTAAGGAAGATTGTCAGAGAAATTTTGAAGTGGAACTCTGTAACCCTTCTTAAGATAGCCTATGTTACTTCTATCGGATAGCATGAGGTACTGTAAAAATTTCAGTAAAATCTGTTTAGCGAGTTTTGACTCTTCATATGTAGATTATTAAAGTACAACGGATAATGCATTTATCTCCAACCGTACCGCGCTAATTTTTTAATGGATGATGTGTATATACGCCTACGTTATTCAGGCAGATTTTGAAGACGGTATCTGTAACCGTTCTTAAGGTATACCCATATAACATGATCAGAAATTTTGAGGTATGTTCACTATTGATGATACAACTCTTCATCCACGTAGAATTTTTGAAGTTTATATAGCCTATGTTATTTTCATGGCATACCACGACATACTGTGTAAATCTCATGAAAATCTGTTCAGCGGTTTTGGCGTCTTTCGGTAACATACAAACAAACAATTTTTTTCTCTTATATATATAGATGTAGCATTTTCGTTATAACCAAATTAAAATAAATGTAAACTGAAAGTTGGGACTGAATAGAAAGTTCGTTAGGAACAAAGGTCGCTATATCCGTAGTTCGCCATAAGAGTCAACATTTCTATGATAAACATTTCACAAAACCGGCTTTGGGGTTTTCCAATTTAGGATCGTATCTCTCCCATTGATGACATATTTATACCTTTAGTTATAATCCCTGTATAGATTATGTCCCAAACATCACATGTCACAAACATTATTTATTAACTCAAGTTTGTGGCTATTCTGAATTATATGTTATTTCGAGTAATTGTTGTATATCACCGCAAACTTATTGAAACTATTATTCTCACCTTTTAATTTGATGATTATTTCAGCCTTTAGCATACCACATGCATAATTTTTAACCGGTGGCAATAATTTCTGAAAATACCAAATCCATCACTTTAAGACTTTCTTCTTCAATCCATTTGGGAACAATTAAAAGAACTGTGCCGTTACTATTATTGTTATCACACATTTATATAATTTTTTATTATAGATATCTTTTTTTCGTATATGATTTCGACTTATGAATCAACAATGAGCATGTTACATGCTGGACATTTGGTCCAGCTCTTTTATTGTATTTACAACTTATAAACTTATTTTTGCTTATTGACGTTTTTATATTCTTCACCACACAGATTGATATATGCCAAATTTTGTTGAAATCGGTTCAGATTAGATATAGCTCCCATATATAGTTTCGTCCGATTTTACGTAAATTGTGCACCATACTGTCAATGTTTGTCCGATTGAGACAAAATTTTTCACATTACTGCTGGCTGGCGTCAGCGAAATTTGGATGAAATCGATTCAGATTTAGATATAGCTCCCATATATTTTTTCGTCAGATTTTATGTAAATGTCGCAACGAGAAGTCTATGTTTGTTCTATATTCACGAAATGTAGCATCAGGTATGGAATTTAGTCTAGAATGCGTGGGTAAGTTCGAAATCGGTTTAGATTTTTATATAGCTCACATATATACTTGAGTCCCATTTTATGTAAATGATGCACCATAGATCCTGTTCTATTAGCACGATATTTTGTTGTTGAAATCGGTTCAGATGTAGATATAGCTCCCTGCAAATGGAGGTGCGTATGTCTTTTCGATTTAAACTTATGTGCTTTTCACATTTGATTTGACCAGTAAAAATTGTTTGTACGCGCTAAAGGGGAATTCACATAAATTCTTAAGCTAGCGTTCGCAAACTACCGATACTATCGATGGTTTCAGACTTTTTTCTTTCATAAATACTTTTTTGTGATATGAACATACATCGCAAAAATTAAATTTGACAAAAAAAAAATTAACAGCCTGTTTTTGTAAAATTCTAAACGAACGAATTCGAGTGACTTACGACCAAACTCCTTGGTTTTGAAAAATATGTCATTTATTTTTGTTTTGAATCAAAAAATATTTGTTTACATAAACGAAGGTTTGGTCGTAAGTCGCTCGAATTCGTTCGTTTAGAATTTTACAAAAAACAGGCTGTAAGTGCATAAAATTTTAAATCGTGATAAATGGAATAAAATCGTGTAAAAAAAATTAAAAATAGTCAGTTTTTTTAAAAAACTTTCAATTTTCAAACCGTGTTATATTAAAACCGTGTACAAAAAGACCGTGTAAAAGGTGTATATATATTCATACGATTTCATCAAAATGATGTACCAAGTAACTAAAGTTTGTCCGCTTAGGACGAATTTGTGCACTACGTACAAAATTGAACCTAGAATAACGTGTATTGGATTTTGTGTCGAGCCAAATTTTGGATAGCGCACTGTGTTGCAGCATACCAAATGGTGGATGCCATGGTTGCTCAAATACGTCCATTTATATATAGATTTTATACATATTTTGCTCAATGATTGACATTCAATTTTTCATAAATTTCAGATTGGTACGTGTATGGGTTGTTTTAATTTAGTTCAAATATCTATGTATTTCACGCTGTTAATTTCGTCCGATTCCATTTCAATGGTCCTACAAAGATGTTATGTATATTCTATCTAAAGTATATTGTACATATGAGCATCTCTTGAACGTCCACAAAGTGTTGATGGGATGATATAGTCGGCCCGTCCGACTTTTCCTTACTGGTTTCTTTTAATTTAATGACTACAGAAATAAAAACTGGGAAATCAAAAATATCGCGTAAATGACCCAGAAAAATCTTTCGCAAAAAAGGACAGACCAAATTTTAGAATTTAGATATTTTTTATTTATGTAAAGAATATTTAAAGTTTAAAATGTTCACACAATTCCCATACTTACGAATGATGTCTAAAGTCATGTATATTTGAAGTCTCGTGAGTGACTGCTGTAAAAATGTATATATGGTGAATTGTAAAAATTTAAGTGTATTTGATTTATTTAAAATTTAAAGTAAATATTATTTACTGTAAGCACTACTGCAATTTATAAAATTGCTAATGATAAATATTAGGCATTACAATTAATATTTTTCTAATTAAAGAATTCCCAGCAACAATACTTGATCATCACAATGATAACTTAAAAATCAAGCAATCCACGATTCAATAGCCATGGTAATATAGCCTCCATGTGTTTACGATAACGGTAATTCGAATACATTTGTCTCTTCAATGCGGTACCAGCATCAGTATCGCCAACAATATTGTCAATGCTCGCATTTTTATTGAGATCACATAAAACGCCTGACATTGCGCCGGTAACGGTGGTAAAGGCTGGAAAAATAAAACGAATTAGTAATTCATTAAAGGAAATGAAACTTTTGTGGAATATTTACCCCATATTCCATCCTTGTAGAGCATTAACTGTAAATCCTTTAATGATGGTATCTTCTTCGAATACTTCAGCAATTTCAAATTCTCGTCCAAATGTGGATGATAGTAGGCAATAAGATAATCAAATTGCCTTAACTTTATTTCATACTGGGTGGAGGATAGAATGAAATACCACAAATCTTGAACCGGTGATTTGATAATCAACAAAGTAGGATTCGAGAATCTCACCCGTATCTTCGTCATGACAGAACATAATATTATTTACCCACAAATCACCATGATTGAGAACCTTAAAATCATCATCGTATTTAGACTCGGCCGTTTTAAAAATTTCGTCGGCAAGATGACGATACAAATCTGTAACTTTTTCATAATACAATTCCGAATTTGAATATTCCTTAAGACATTCGAAAAATATCTTTTGCGGCGAATCATACATTGACTTCATTAAGTCAAAGGATTTGGTTCGTATATAGCCGTAATTGTACAATTCTAAATACATGCCTTTAGTGGCAACTCTTACGGCCGAGGCAGCATGCCCTTGGGCAATTTTCTTGAGTACACTTTTAGCATGATCCATATCTAGACCTTCCAGACGATTGACATTACGAAAGCCTTTTTTTCAAGATTTTCCAATAAAATGTAGGGTTGATCGGTGGGTAGGGAGTACGATTTTGCACCAAACTTCACATTCACAACTGCATCGGCATATATTTGTTCTAATTCCTGCAAAACGTCAGAATACATGCCTCTTTCGCAACCAAATATATCCAGAGTTTTCAGCATTTCGCGGTTATCGGTTTCGTTGAATTATCTGAAATTAATAATAATTAAAAGAATTAATATAAAACAAATTTGACTTTACTACTTTCCTGATGGTTATACCCTTCACCACACGGTGGTACAGGGTATTATGTGTTTGTGCATATGTTTGTAAGAGGCAAAAGGAAACGAGATAGACCCATAGTTCCTTTTGAGAATATGATGCCCCAAAGTCCCTATATATCGTTCGATTTACAAGAAATTTGGCATAACGAACTGAATTGAGTCTAGAATGATGTCTGCCAAGTTTCGTGAAAATCGGTCTAGATTTAGATATAGCTCCCATATATATTTTCGTCCGATTTCATGTAAATGGTGCACCAAAGTCCCTATATATCTTTCGATTTGCACGAAATTTGGCATAGCGTACTGAATTGAGCCTAGAATGATGCCTGCCAAGTTTCGTTAAAATCGGTCCAAAGTGATGTCTGCCAAGTTTCGAGAAAATCGATCCAGATTCAGATATATCTCCCATATATATATTTTCGTCCGATTTAATGTGAATGGTGCACCAAAGTTCATATATATCCTTCGATTTGCACGAAATTTTGCATAACGTACTGAATTAAGCCTAGAGTGATGTCGGACAAGTTATGTGAAAATCGATCAAGGTTTAGATATAGCTCCCATATATATTGTCGTCCGATTTAATGTAAACTTAGTCCAGAATGATGTGTGCCAAATTTCGTGAAAATCGGTTGAGATTTAGATATAGCTCACTTTTATTATAGATTGATTTTAAGTAATTGACGGATCAAGGAACCAATAGGCTGATAGGAACAAATCGTACTGAAATTAGTATAACCTAACCTGTGACAAGTTTCGTTGAAATCGCTTCATATTTGGATATAGCTTCCATATATATTTTCGCCCGATTTTAAGTAACTATCACATATTTTATTTCATCCAATTTCATGTTAATAGTCCTAGGAACACCTAAATAAGATCCCAATAAAAAAATAACTAAAAAAGCTTAACCCATTCGAAAGCTATAACGAATTTACTATGATTATTTTAGATAGATTATCATTTAAGCATGGATTTAAATATATATTATTTTAATGTATATATAATTTTGAGTTCCTACATCTAGACCAGATCCGCATAGACTAATTTAAAACAAAAAACCTCGCGATAGTCCAATTTTTTAATAAGTTACAGAGCTATCTTTGGATGGGTACAAATGTACCACGGTTATTGATATACGTATACTTTTTTGGTTATTGACCGTAGGGTTAATATTTTTCCGACCCGCAACCACATTTTTGTATATGGCAATCTTGTTCTCTATATGTGTAAACCACTTTGGCTTGCTTTTTCAGTTGTCGAAAAATTGTGCATGGGTGACCATGTTTTCTCAGTGTCATTGTAAACTTTTATTCATTTGGTTTTAAGGGCGCAGTTTTCTTTCGTCAAACAATTTTTTTGTATTCCAACAATCATTTCAAACATAACTAATGTAATTTCTTTCATATATATTTATTACAAAAAAAGTTATTTTAAATTTCCGTAAAATGCCATGGGTGGGGCACCTTTTAACATGCCCATTATACTTGAGTAAAAAAAGGAGTTTTTAACTTTTGCTTTGATTTCTCAAAATT